TTGTGCTGCCTGTGGGTGAGTCTCGAGCCCTTCCTGCACTCAGGTGAGTTGTTGTTCGCGTGGCTTTCGTGCGGGTGGTTCCTTCGGGCCCGGGGAATGGCACAGCGGCAGCAGCAGGATCTATGGGAGGGTAAGCGAGTGTAGTTTTGATGCGCCTCAAAACAAAAATCATGGCAGGAGCAGGAACAGTGGGGTATGCGGATGTTTTTGTGCTGCCTGTGGGTGAGTTATGTTCCTTACTTTTTTTTTCACCTTTTCTTTGGAAGATGAAGCCATGGCTGACTTGCCTATTCGTCTCAATGTGTCTCATGTGTGTTTTCCCAATGGCTCAATGGAGTTTTGGGAATGGATGCACCGGGGGGTGAGTGCGATGAGGAGGTGTTGAGGCTATTGGTAGTTGTGTTGGGGGGGAGGGAGGGGAGAGCTCTATTTGAATCATGATTCTCCTTTTGTGCTCTTCTTTGTTTGGTCCAGTAAGGCAGTCGGAAGCCTGTGCTGGGTGTTTGAATAAGGCCGTACTTTTGCCCGATTCTCCAATTCTGTTGTGCCTTGAAAAAAACACCCTCTCAGGCAACGCTGACAAGGCAAGCATTGAAGAGATTGGTGACCTGGACGATGTGATCGGGATTTTCGGCCCGCCAGATCAGCCATCCCGTGTGATGAATGCATCCATTCAGGAGCAGCCATCTGGCACGGCGTACTATCACTATGAACTGACGTCGCCATCGGCTCTTCTGTCTGCTTATGTCTCTGACAGCCAGATTTACATATTTCAGGTAAGATCTAAAATGCATGTGAAGAGGTTACTGCCGTTGGGCTGTGTTCGTGTTGTTCCACTTCATATTTTACCCTTGCTTCACCCCAATGTAGGTGAGCGCTCCTGGATTGTCCAAGAGGCAATGGCGTGAGTCCTTTTATTTATTTGACGCCATGAGGGACTCCTTCACAAATGAAGCTCGTTTCTTACGATAGTTATGATGTCTCCATTAAGAACGTGCACTATTGATCTAGAAGTATCTGAGATCCATGTAATATGCAGTCTGACTATAGAGGCCCAGAACCAGTATTGTAACGCGAACGATTTGATTTTCCTGCAGTCGTCATGCTGCTTTCTGACTGTTGGTCACGTGAAGTGATCATTGCGATTGCAACTGAACTGCACTGTTGGGCAGGGCAGGTGCTCGATGGTCACTGCAACACAGGCGTGCAACTTCCAGCTCAGACTCCCAAAAGCCCGGAAAAACGGGACTCGCTGCCACACACTGTACAACACCCAGCGCAATTGGTTGAACATCTTTGTGGCATCGAAGCCCTTAGGGACTTGCGGATCTCCGGACGCGCGGGGGCATGAGGATTCCGCCCGCTCAATCCCCGCAGCGGGCATGGAAAGGGGCAATAAAACCCAGCGAACCAGATATCACCAGCTCAGCAGGCATGGCTCGCTTTCCTTCACTTTCGTGCTTTGACCAGGGTCATTTTGGATCAACTTGCTGAGCTCACTCCATGGACCCCGCAAAAGGCAATCTTCTATTGGTGACTGAAATTCCTTTTTCCTTCCAATCCGCCAACGCTGTCCGCCACGCTGTCATCGCTCCCCGCATCGAGTCTCCTCTCTACGCCAACTTCTAGGGATCTCCGCTCCCCCCGAGGGGCTGGGGTGGGGTGGGGAGGAGCCGTACACTTATCTTGCGGTATTTTTATACCCAGTATTTTCACAGGGTGTGCCGCCAAGAGGGTATTTACCCCCCGAAAGCAGCTCCTGAAGATCAGATACGGATACCCTTGAAAAACAATTTGAAGTTTAATTGCTATACAAAACGTTTACTGCTCGATTTAGTATTTCTCGAGTCAGGAAACCCGACGTCAGCTTTAGGCAGTGCTCAAAGTTTTTGCCCGCGTGGGGTCTGCCAAGCTTATGCCGTAGGTACAAGGGGATACTCTCTGCGCACTCAGAAATGATCAGGGTGGAAACCAAAAAAGGTTAGCCGTCCAGTTTCAGGGTTTAAAATTAACGGAGAATAAGTGTATGTGATCGGCAACTTTGCCCGGCTGTTCCCTCATCCTCCAGCACCGAGCGGAGAACTTCAGCCCCCCTGCGAATGGTTCCCCACGTGTGGTTGTGGTGGCCCGAAATTCAGGAGTTCATTTTGGCTTCGGGTTGCCCCAACAGAATTCTGCTGCTCTGCCCACAGACAGCAACTAGGGCAGACGATGGTCTGTGACAGACTGCTCACGGGCAGAGAATGTGGCGAGGGCTGCTTCGGGAGGAACGACTGAACGAGTGACGTCGATGCAGGTGGTCATGAGTGAAATGAACGGCTGGATGAGCCGGTCAAAGGTGGCTCGGATTTGGTAAGGGCAAATGTTGCCGTTCGGGGGAAAATAATAGGGGGCGGGGGTATGGGTGATAGGAGTTTCGGGAGGCGGGGAAGGGTGGAATATTTGGAACATTTCCCCCAATGAATCAAGGGCGCGGAGGAACCAATGCGGTGCTGTGAATGAAGGGCATGTCATTGTCATAGCATGCTATCGCATGGCAATGGCGGTTATCACTAGCCTCTCAGCAGCACCGGAGCAACAGCACTCCAAGACAAATGGTGGAGGTGGAAGGCAAATGGCGGAAGACGAATGGTGGTGGTATTTTCTTGAAAAGTGAACGCGCGTCTGCCGCGACGACTAGACATAGCTCAACCACGCCTTGCACTCTCAAGATTCCTCCAATATTATTCCTTCTCAGCGTGGCAGTTTCATTCCAGCTCGAAGGATTTTGTAGGCGTATATACCTCGTCTGCCCAGACGGCAGGTAGAAGGCTTTGTGGACGAATCGGTCGGCAGCGCTAATTTTTCCTCTGCAGAACGGCTCGTTTCCCTCGGAAGAGTCCTGCGGATACTCCATACGATTTTCCTACTTCCGGATTTTTAGTGGAGCATCCGAGACCCCAAGGGCTTTGTATCCATGGCCGACGCAATTCTAGCAAGAAGCGTTTCGGCTCCTGTTTTGCCTGCTATCTCCGACGCTGACGCGAGAAGTCGGGGGAAGCCGTCTAGCTGTCAGATCAACAGGAGTTATACCTCTCCCAAAGCTTTCAGCCCGCGTTCTAGTACTGCAGGATTCCATCGTTCTCCGTCAGCATCGATGTCCCTGGACCCATCATCCCATCATGAAAGCGGCTTCTTCTCCGCGTCAGCTTCGCATGGGACTTGGCCTTCGACTCCGTCTCCAGTGCAATCGTCGTCGTTCTCCGTGTCCCAAGGGTCGCAGATCCGTAAGCGGGAGTCGCCGGTGAGAGAAATTAGACATCATGGAGGTCAGCAACGGCTACGATACCGGACAGTGTCGGAAATGGATCTCCCTAAATCAGTACCGTCCTCAGTGGGTGAAGATGATATGCTGTCGCCCATGCTGTCGACACCCGGCTTAACATTTTCAAGTTTTAGCAGCCTGTCAACTCCGCCGCCTGGGTTTGGAGCCACCACCGCGAACCATCAGGAGGACGCATCAAGCGGGACAGTGATTAACGAGGTTTCTCATTCAGGAGCTGCAGCGGATAACACGATGCACTGGGGAAGGCCAGATTTGGGAGCCGATTTTGAGGATGCAACTTCAATGGCGGTTTATCCCGAGCCAGACCTGTCGTCGTCGACTCCACTTGTGTTCGTCGCGCCAACCTCCGTATACACCATGGGGACTCCAGGATTCCTATTTCCGAGTTTCTTCCCTGGTGACACTCGCTCCGGCGAGCCGTGGCTGGGGTCCATGAATTATCATGACAGTGCATCGGCTATGGCACCTGACAATGCGTCGGACTTTCCTGTCCATCCGATGGGACGTAACGAACGGCCGTCATCCGTTTCGGAGCGTGTGGATGGAGAGGTTTACACCATGATTGCTCACGGACCCGGCGGTATGACAGTCGCGTGCAACGCTCATGGATGCCGACCCATTTGGACCGATGACGCTGAGTATCGACCCAGCGAATGGATGGACTCCAACCGGACAGCACCTGAGGGAGGCTCGGCTGTATATCCCCAGCAACCACCTGCGTATCCTCTTCGGTCTGCAGAGTGTGAGGTTGGCTCAGTGTGCTTCTGCAGCAAGCCGATGTTGCCACGGCATCATCTCGGCGGTTCGCCTGAAGAGGAGCACAAAGTGCAAGAAATGGATGACTTGTACCGAGCATCCTTGGAGGAGGACCCAGAAAATGCCCTCTTTCTCCGAAACTATGCCAAGTTCCTCTATGAGGTACGCCTGAGTTGATACTCTCTAACACATTAAGACTCTTTGCCATGAGCCCCTGTAATGGAGACTGACGTACCATTTTTCTTTCCCTGTATTGCAGGTGAAAGGGGATTATTTTGCAGCAGATGCTGTTTTCCAGAAGGCCGTTCAAGTGGCACCTGCTGATGGCGAACTTCTGGTGCTATATGCCAAGTTTCTCTGGGAAGGGATGTGTGATGCTGAGAAAGCGTCATTGATGTTTCAGCAGGCAGTCGAAGTCTCTCCAGACAACTGGTAAGCGCAACGCATTGCTGCAAAACTTGAGCAGTGGAGAACCCACAGCCAACATCCTAATCATGTTTTTCCTTTCCTTGCAGCTACGTCCTCGCAGCTCATGCGGCTTTCCTCTGGGATGCAGACAGCATGCTTGAGCAAACAAGCGTTCTAGCACCTCCGTTTCCTCCACCCCAAGCTGTGGAAATGTAGCAATAGTCAGTGACTAATGTACAAAGTGTTGCTGAGTGTGGTTGCTGCCATGCCGTTCTGCTGCTGCTGCGCAGTCTCCTTGGCATCCTCACGTTTTTTATTTGTGCATGTATACACATGCTTTAAGTTAGTATTGCAGCACCAACATCGAGATGATTATGTATCGGAAGCTCAAGATCACAATGATGGGAAAAGGAGAACAATTCAGCAAGGTTGAAAATTCTGCACTGTCCCAGGCTCCATGAATAAAGATAGGAGGATGTTCAAAATTACTGTTGAAAGAGAATGTCGTCATACACGTTTCAACATTTTAGTATGGATAAAATTCCTATGACATGTATCACTTCTGAAAATAAATGTTAGCTGGTACTTCCTGGATAGCGCCTTTACAGTCTAACTGTCTAATCCTAGAAAAGCAAGGAAGTGTGGGTGCCATTCCTACATATGCAGCTAATCTTCTAGTCGACAAGCTTAGCCGCCAAGTAACAGGTCGTGCTCAGAACCCGATTGGCCCTGCACGGTTGGTTGCTCTAGGAACCTCCAGAGCATTCAGGGCACGGTATGAATACGTGGGCCTGTACCCGGAACTTCCGGATTCTGTGAAGAAGGCTCCACCCGAGAAGTAATCTCCCACCGACTGCCAGTCCCACCCGCTCCAGACGCTCTTGCTTGCAGCAATGTCGTGCTTGGTCACCTGCCATTCCGCAAAAAGGGAGCACGAAAAGAAAGCAGAGGCGGACACGGAGGGGGGAGGGGAGAAAGCGTGAGGGGAGCTGGCAGGGGAAGAGGAAGCGGAAGAGGGAAAGCGGAAGAGCGTATTCTGCATAACAAGGTAGAAACTCCATCACGCATGCCAGCTAACCAAAACCAGAACCAGCTTACCTCCTTATTTCCACCACTAGCAACGAAGTAGTTCCCTTCGCTGAGGAAGGTGGGGTCAGCGCTGCCGCCAATGGCGTAGATTCCCCACCCGTTCGGGTAGTAGTTGTTCAGCACGTGGAAGATCCCGAACCTGCCACGTGGCATGCGCTCGTCCAGGTTCGGGCCGAACTTGTTGAGCATGACGGTCACGCGCATGCTCTTGTCCATCGAGTTGGCATCGTTGTGACCCATCAGAATCACCTGAGGGGGGGAGGCGGGCGGAGGGGGGGGAAGGGGGGGTGGGGGGTTGGGGAGAGGGGGAAGGCAGAAAAGAGGGGGAAGGTGATTTAGTTGAAGACGATTCGGGGCGTAGGGCAGGGAAGAAGCATAACCGCTAGATAATTGAAGTTGGAAAATACAGCTTTCGTCATCCCTCCCTTGCGCCAAACCCAATCCGACCCCTCTCTGATGCGCCCCCTCCCCTCCCCCTTCCCCCTAAAACGCCCAGCGGACCCCTCTGTTCCTACTCCCAACCTCTGAAGCAATGTTTCCGTACCTTATCCTGGTTGGTGAAGTAGGAGTTCGATACAGTGACGGCAGTGCTCCCCTCGATGATGTCAATATGGGTGTCGTCCGCGTAGTTGAAAGAGCAGTGGTCGATCCAAACGTGGTGGGATTTGTAAATGTACACCCCGTATCCGTTCAGGTAGTCGCGACCATCGATGGTATTCCCAGGCCCAGTTGCTATTTTAATGTTGCCACTGAAACACAAACAATACGAGCACGGGTGAGCCGAAAGTAGCCAAAACGCATAAGAGCACCATAGGGAAGCGAAATACTCAATTCGTAAATACTCAGAGCACAGTCTACCCGGATGTCGGCTTTTCTTGGGAAACTTACACCCGGTTTTTGCAGTTCACAAAAGAGATTCCGTGAATAATCACGTTCGACGACTCTTCGACCGCGAAACAGGGACCGTTGCCCACCACGATCTTTTTCCCACGTGCGTCGATCGTCTTATCCTTGTAAATAATCATTTCCGCATCCAGACCGGTAAATGTGAAATCGTCGTCGAAAACGATCCACAGCGGCTCAGCCTGCGATCAACGGCGGAAAGATGGAAGGAATCAGGGGCCCGTCGACAAAAGAAATTCCGTCTCGGAGCAGAGGGGTGAATGCTATCGAAAGTGTTCTTACCCTGGTGATACCATATCGAAGGGTGCCGGGACTCGGGCTCACGCGGTTATCATCCGCTCTAGTCACATGGTAAATCTGCCCCGCCTTTCCACCAGTTGTTCCCGTCGCATACCCCTCTACGCAATCCGCGAGCTTCTTGATGTTATTGTTCCAGTTACCACCCATCCAGCAGTCGTCGATCGGGTTACCATACGGTAACCACTGCATGATGCCCCCGGGGAGGTCGTTGTGTCCGAGCCACCCCGGCCCGGTGTTGCGCTTGACCTGCGGGTTCCGCTTCTTGACTTTCTTGACCGAGGGGTTTTTTTTCGCCATGAGAATTTGCGTCTGCCCGATCTGGTCCTTGGCGAGGCGAATGTACTTGCTCGACTGGGCGGGTACGCTGTTGACACAACCCTGGACGAAGAGGGAAAGTCGCAACGAAACAGAAACAATGGGTAGGAAAGTAAGACGTGGAAATGCTACGACGCGTAAGAGGGGGGGGAGATAGAAGCAATCGAGTAAGAGCAGCCAGGAAAGGTTTAGCAGGAAGGGGGAGCGATGCTGCGGGAGATAATAGCCAGCAGAGGAAACACGAGATTGGGAGGCGGGGATTGGGGGCCGGGGAGCGGGGGAAAGGGAGACGGAGGAAAGAAGGGCGGAGGCAGTGGGGAGGGAGGAGAAGGGGGGGTTGGGGCGAAGGGGATGAGGAAGGGAGGGAAGGGAGGAGGGTGGGGGAAATAGAAGTGCCAAGCTGGCAGAAAAAAGAATCGCTGAATCAAGTGGGAAGGGCGGACTCACACTAGAGGTGGCCTTGGCGTTCTTCATCTGCGCAGTAGCCTCCGCGCCCCTCTTAGCCTTGAGGTACGCCTCCGCGCTCTGCAGCGCCTTGCACGCGGCGGTCAGCTTGGCGCTGCACGACGTCTTGCGCGCCCAGTACTGCGCGATCAGCATGTTGTGCCACGCGTTAGCGAGCATGCTTAAAACGGGGTCCTCCTTGCGAGCCCTGCGCGGGAGAACGGATGGGGAAGGATGGGGAAGGATGGGGGAAGGATGCGGAAGGATGCGGAAGGATGCGGAAGGATGCGGAAGGATGGGGAAGGATGGGGAAGGATGCGGAAGGATGCGAAGGATGGGGAAGGATGGGAGTGGAGGAGAAGTTTGGCGTTTCGTTTAGAGACGAAGCATACGACATTCAGATTGTTCTTGTTAGAAAACATGTTGCCATGCTACGCACAGTCACGCGTCATAGGTCACGCGTTGTAGGTCACGCATCATAGGGCTAAAAGGGAGAGGAACGCACTTGAGCTGTCGGCGCAAGAGCAGGTCGAGGGCGGAAGCATTCTTCCCCTCCGCCGCCGCAGCGACCGCCGCCGCAAGGGACGGCATCTCCGCATCCTGCAACACGCGGCCGGGAGCGGCGCCGCCACCACCGGTCACGCTGTCCCCGTGTTGATCGCTCTGGGTGGCACCAGCGCTGGTTTCGCCGCCATTGGCGGTTAGGGAATGGCACTCGGCGTGCAAATTATGGCGGGTGAGAGCTAGAGCGAGGAGCAGCAGCAGCAGCGGCTGGAGCTGCAGCCTCATCGCGGGGGACGAGGGGGGGACGGACGGACAGTCACTAGGAGGCGTGGGAAAGATACTATTCCGAACGGAGTTAGTCAGGAGCAGTAGACGCACAAGGCGCAGTAGGCGAGACTAGGAAACTGGTAGGGTTTGCTACCCAATGCGGACGGATGGAACGAGATATGCGCTAAGCCACCCCGAAACGGTCTTGTGATATCTAACTCTGGCCTTATCAGAGTGCCTTTTCTCTTGTTGGATTTATGAAAGGATGCTGGCCTTTGGATGGTGGTGGTTGTCGCTGCAGTGGTGGCAGTATGCGTGGGCCAAGCACAGCACACCTAAGAGCACGCGCGCACTGAAGAAATGGAACGCCTGACGGCATCCACTCTATCGAATACGAAGCGAGGGACTAGACATGTCGGTGCAACACCTTACAATCACGCGAACTCGAACGGCAAGGGTGGGGTGGGGGAATGGGAGAGAGCGAGGGATGAAGGGACGTACGGAGCGTGCAGGCGAGGGGTTTGGAAACATTGGGGATCCGGACTGGGCTGGACTGAGCAGAGGTACTGCTGCCGACATGCACTGCAGTTCAGGCACAGGGGCTGTGAGGAGAGGCTGTGTTACGTGGGGGATCAAACCGAAACCAAATGCGGGACCCAGTGTCTAGAGAAATCCCCTCCAGGCGCATGTGTGCAATTTTGAATTTCTGCGGGTCAATGTGGGGCCAATTTCGTGCATTCCAGATTTGGTCTTGGGCAAATTGCCGGAGCGAGCCGCGCTCACGAAACGCGGCACCCTTTCGCTGATGTGTGGCGCTGGAGGAGAGGAGAGGAGCCTCCATTTGAATGCGTCCACGTCAGCTGAACCGGAGAAACATGTCGCGAAGGAGACGTTCGGTTTTGGCGGTCAGGTATGGAAATGGAATTGCCAAGCCTGGAGTCGAAGCGAATCCACGTTCTGGAACGGAGGAGGACGACGACGAGTTGCGCGACTCTCAGAGCAACCTACGTGACCGCCTAGACGCCGTCGCACAACTTGAATGGTTGGTCTGCGACTCGGACGATGAAGGGCTGGGAACGAACAACCGACCACAGCAAACCAGCCTTGCAGTGGGTTTGAAAATGCTAAGGGCAGCGAACGGTACTACTCTTCAGCCAGAGGTGCCCAACCAAATCGTCAATAACTGTAATTATTGAGAAACACTTGCACTAGCACAATGCATACTGGATATTGTTGAACAACACAACTCTCAAATATGCTCAGCATTGGCTAGATCAGTGCGTATAACGTGTGGCACTTATTTCTGGTTTGGCTTTCAGGAGCTTACCCATGATTGAACATATCCATTCCACAATAGTAACACTTGCCATCTCTTGAAAATTCCTAAAATCTATACAACACCAGCCTTGGATACCTCCTTGAAAACATACGACTGCTCAAAGAAGCCCCTCCTGTGGTTGATAATGTTTGAGGAGGGTGTTCAGAAGTAGGCATTAACACAAGGGACACAACAAATAGCGTATAATTGAGGAATCAAGGAACTACATGAGATTGCCTAGAATGGGAAAAACCAACACTAAGGCCGCGTTCTGAAGTTTGGCCGACCTTGAAACTTTGGGCAACCGACTCGCCACGCCAGATTTGCACATTGCAATGTTTAGCCGCGCGGCTCGAAGTTTAGCTAACCACACCTTGTCGGCCAGAATTTGTGCAACGGGGGTCCACGAACAACTGCGACCAAGGGCGAAACCTAGTTTCTGGATACTTGGCCAGCCACACCGAAGAAATGTGACGTCGACCAAGCCACAAAAACAGCACAATCATGCCCGGCGCACGAACAACCATCAAACTGCGAATGCTCAACTCTTCTTTACCAAAGCCTCCATCAACACCCCAACTAGAAGGCGATGGTCTTAAAACACGTGTGCCAACTGCCTCGAGCTTCCTATCTTTGGTTGGAAGATCCCTAGGAGTACTGCCTGACAGCCAATCCCGTCTTTCTACTCAACCAACCTACCTCACCTCCCGTTGAATTGCTTGACACACGAGATTTAACTCTTCATTCTGGTGGGGTTTTGCTGGATTTTTTCGCAAGACAGCTTTCCCAAAATTATCCGAAAGCTGGCCGTCAGGTGTCGCAGTCCTCTGCGACCCAAATTGTGTTCTCTCGCATATCGTTTTGCGGATCGCCTGTCGATCTGATTTGGCGCGATGGGGGACCGTTCGCAAAATGTCGCTGTCTGGTCGCCTAGTTTTTTCGCGGAGGGGTTGGCCAACGTTCACCTACCACAACTTTTGCCAACCAAAGCCTCAAAGTTTGGCCAAACTTTCGCTGACGTGGCGAGTCGGACGGTCAAGCTTCAACTCGGCCAAACTTCAGAACGTCATATAAAACACAACGGTACTTGTGGCCTATGGTGAGTAGTTAGGATAATAGAATTTGACGATGAGCAACTCATTGCATCTCCTGTTTTCACCCAATGTCTCTAGACGAACCCTCCCCCACCCGTTCTCACATTCTTGCCAGAGAATATCGGCACGTCATATCCACTGTTTTTTACCCACTGGCTCTATATCTCTAACTCTTCACTCCCATTCGCTTCCATTCGCTCACCCATTCTTGCCGGAGACTATTGGCGCGTAGTTGTACATAAGCAACTCATCCATTTCACTAGTTTCACCCAGTGTCTCACACTCATCCTTACCCATTCTCACCCATTGCCACCCATGCTCACCCATTCTTGCCAGAGAATATCGGCGCATGATTGTAGATGAGCATGTCATCCATCTCCTCTTCTGACTCGGGCCGATGCGTGGAGCGACGGGCCTCACTGTCGTCACACATCGCACATAATCACATGCACGACGTGGGTTGAAACACACATCGCACATAGTCATATGCACGACATGGGTTGAAGCACACATCACACATAGTCACGCGCACGACATGGGTTGAAACACACATGGCATGTAATCACATGCACGACATGGGTTGGAAAACATTACGCATTTCGTCGCACCACACATGGCATAAGTCACACATGTCATGGGCCGATGCATGGAGCGACTGGCTTCACTGTAGTCATATGCATGGCATGGGTTGAAACACTCATCGCTAGTAGTCACATGCATGTTGTGACATGGACACAAACACATATCACATGCATGTTATGACATCGACTCAAACACATATCACATGCATGTTATGACATGGACTCAAACACATATCACATGCATGTTATGACACGGGCTCAAACACATATCCCGTGCACGTTATGACATGGACTCAAACACGTATCACATGCACGTTATGACATGGACTCAAACCCACATCAGATGCATGTTATGACATGGACTCAAACACATATCACATGCATGTTATGACATGGACTCAAACACATATCACATGCATGTTATGACATGGACTCAAACACATATCACATGCATGTTATGACATGGACTCAAACACATATCACATGCAGTTACTGAAGACACAGTGAGAGAAGAAGAACTAAAAAGACTCACTTGACAAAGAAGTTGGCAGTGGCCTGACAAGCAGCCACAGCATGGGCCGAGTGGGGGATGTGCGGTAGACCCCACTCAAACGCCGTCTTCTGCTTAAGCCAACAGAAAGTGGGGCAGGGGAAAGGAGGGGAGGAGAACAGGGAGAGGGAAGTTAGTGGTGGCCCGGCAAGCAGCCTCGGCATGGCCGAGTGGGGGATGTGCGGAAGATCCCACTCGAACGCTGTCTTCTGCCAAGCCAGCAAACAAGGGGGAGAATGGCGAGAAGGAAGGAGCCAGAGGGGCGAAGGGCCTGAGTGCGGAATGGGCACCCCACTCAAATGCCATCTTCTGTTGGGAGGGATAAGTAAAAAGGGGGGAGCGCGGAGTGTTGATGGGGGGAAAGTAGCTCAGTTGTTTTCCACGTGTGTTCTCAACGTCTGTGATCACACGGAGTGCCATACATGGGGCAAACACCAGCCTCGCAAAAAGCAGCACTTCTAAGGTTCCACGTGTGTTCCCAGCGTATTTGATTTCATGGAGTGGCTTGTCACACGGTTTAGACCTCATCTCCAGGCGCGACAGAGAGCCATAGACAGGGAAAACATCAGCCGCCTCACAAAAAAACAGCACTTCGAAGGGTGTCAAGCCCTACCTCTGGATGCCACTGAGTGCCGTAAATAGGGTAGTTTCTCGCCTCTATGGTTGTCACATATTCCTGAGACATACAAAGGTGGGGGGAAAAAGGGGGGAGAACACACATACTGATGTACTACAAGGGGGAAATCCAGCGTGGGCAGTTTCTCGCCTCCATGGTTGTCACATATTCCTGACGTCACACCGGGGGGGGCGGGGGGGAAAGGGGTAGTTTGAGAAAGGGTAACAGTAGCTGTAGGGGCATTGATAATAAGAGGGGGAGAAAACAGGGCTCCAGCAGTCGACAGCACTGGGGGAGGAAGGCGGGAGCAGGGCGTGAGCAAGTGGGGAGCAAGGGGGGAGGCAGCGCGTCACTCACAATGCTGTTTCCATCAATCGAGGTGGCGAGGTGAGGGCAATGCGGAAGAACACCCAATTTTGAGTATTCTTACCGGTGAGCAGGGTGCTAACCAGGTGCAAACAAAAATCACAGTGCCGTTCATGTCACGGAGCGAGGGCGGCCCACTCACAGTGCCGTTTCTGTCGATTGAGGTGGTGAGGATGTGGAAGAACTCCCTCAGGTGGTCGTTGGATAGAAATCGTTCCACTGTAGTGCCGTCCTGTGATTATGGCAGAGCAGAGCAGAGAGGAGCAGAGCAGAGCAGGGCGGAGCAGAGCAGAGCAGGGCGGAGCAGAGCAGAGCAGAGCAGGGCGGAGCAGAGCAGAGCAGGGCGGAGCAGAGCAGAGCAGAGCAGAGCAGAGCAGAGCAGGGCAGAGCAGAGCAGAGCAGGGCAGAGCAGAGCAGGGCGGAGCAGAGCAGAGCAAAGCAGGGCGGAGCAGAGCAGAGCAGAGCAGGGCGGAGCAGAGCAGAGTAGAGCAGGGCGGAGCAGGGCAGAGCAGAGCAGGGCGGAGCAGAGCAGAGCAGAGCAGGGCGGAGCAGAGCAGAGCAGAGTAGGGCGGAGCAGAGCAGAGCAGAGAACACACGTGCGAGGAGGAAGAGGGAGGGGACAGGGGAAGGGCGGTAGGTGTGCAGCAGTTTGTGGTGGATAGGTCTACACACTAGCATGCCATAAGGTAGGAACACTGTACTGTTCTTAGCATTGGACATACAATAGCGCAGCACACCTCATAAACTGTACGACCCACCACGCTGTGTGGCTCTCATACACGTTACAAGCTCACCTCGTGATTCTCCATGGTGATCTTCTCTTTCTGAATGCGCTCCAGCAGGTCCGGAGTCATCCTGTTGCATTCAGGAAGAAAAAACAATAAACGAGTTTTGAGATGATCGTTATCAAAGATTCAGAGACTCGATGATTATCACGAGGCTCCAGCAGTTCCGTCCGGAGTCATCCTGCTGAGCTGTTTTTTGGAGAATTCTAAAACACCTGCTTTCAGAAACACCTGCTTTCAGAATTACACCATCTGACGTTTGAGTCGGCTCAAAAGAAACTCGGTGATGATCACGTGGCTCTAGTATCCGGTCTGGACTCATCCTGTTGCATTCAGAAACACAACAAACTGAGTGGATAAATGCAGTTACGCATAACTGGATGCCACAGGATTCAACACTGGATGCCACAGGACGGCGTTCGGACCAGCCGGAATAACACATCACTGTACCGATGGCAGTGTAGCTTCACGTATGAGCCAGATAAACTGGTTCTCAAATGGCGCGCTATCGAAGCTCATTCCACGCACACTGGTGAAGAAACATTTTGAGGCCCCTCAAGACCAAATGGCGCGCTATCGAAGCTCATTCCAGGCACACTGGTGAAGAGACAATGATCTTTGAGTGGACCTGAAAACAAAGGGGGCACCACAAACTCTCTAGATCTACCCACGAGCTGAAGTAGGCGCGCCCCTGGACTGGACCTCGTCATTTGTAAAGCCAAGCGCCTCTTGGCTGTCTTCCGCAGCAAACGCCTTTGACTCCCATGTGCGTGCGTGCGTGCGCGTGTGCGTGTGCGTGCGTGTGTGTGGGTGCTTGCGTGTGTGCGCGCGCGTGTGTGTGTGTGTGTGTGCGTGCGTGCGTGCGTGTGTGTGTGTGCGTGTGTGTGTGTGTGCGTGTGTGTGTGTGTGCGTGTGTGTGTGTGTGTGCGTGTGTGTGTGTGTGTGCATGTGTGTGTGTGTGTGTGTGCGTGCGTGCGTGCGTGTGTGTGTGTGCGTGTGTGTGTGTGTGCGTGTGTGTGTGTGTGCGTGTGTGTGTGTGTGCGTGTGTGTGTGTGTGTGTGTGCGTGCGTGTGTGTGTGTGCGTGTGTGTGTGTGTGCGTGTGTGTGTGTGCGTGTGTGTGTGTGTGTGTGTGCATGCGTGTGTGCGTTTGTGCGTGTGTGTGTGCGTGCATGCGTGCGTGTGTGTGTGTGTGTGTGTGTGTGTGCATGCGTGTGTGTGTTTGTGCGTGTGTGTGTGCGTGCATGCGTGCGTGTTTGTGTGTGTGTGTGTGCGCGCGTGCGTGTGCATGTGCGCGTGCGCGTGCGTGTGTGTGTGTGTGTGCGCCATTGGCTGGTCTGTCCCCTTCCCACCCACCAGCTGAAGTAGGCGCGCCTCTTGGACTCGTCATCTGTGAACCTGAGCGCCTCTGGGCTGTCCTCCGCATCGAACGCCTTTGACTCGAGGATGTTGAAATCCTGGCAGTTGGGGGAGGGCAGTTGGGGAAGAGGGAATGCGATGAGTTGCATTTAGGGCGAAAAATCGGGGCGCCTCTGGGCTGTCCTCCGCAGCGAACGTCTTTGACTCGAGAATGTTGAAGTCGTGGCGTGAGGGAGAGCGGTTCGCACGCATGGTGGTGGGGTGAGATGGGGGCGCGCAGCAAGACCGCTACTGGAATGTCCTCTGCAGCGAACGCCTTTGACTTTCAGAATGTTGAAGGTCAGCATGGCACAAGAGTTGGGTCCCCCATCACGCACGCCACGCACCTGGCTGAAGAAGATGGTCAGCGCCTCCATGCCCATGCACGTGCCCTGCACGGGGAAGTAGTCCCCTGCGTCGTTGGCTGCCAGCGCCATCTGAAACAAGAAGAGGGGGGATGAGATGAGAGCGCAGGGAGGTTCAGGTTTGCGACTCCTCTCTTACCTCCATGCATTCCTTCCCATGCCCATGCCCATCCTCATGCCCATCCCCATGCCCATCCCCATGCCCATTCCCATGCCCATTCCCATGCCCATGCCCATGCCCATGCCCATCCCCATGCCTATCCCCATGCCCATCCCCATGCCCATTCCCATGCCCATGCCCATGCCCATGCCCATGCCCATCCCCATGCCCATCCCCATTCCCATGCCCATCCCCATGCCCATCCCCATGCCCATCCCCATGCCCATCCCCATCCCCATGCCCATCCCCATGACCATCCCCATGCCCATGCCCATGCCCAGGCCCATGCCCATGCCCATGCCCATCCCCATGCCCATGCCCATGCCCATGCCCATGCCCATGCCCATGCCCATGCCCATGCCCAAGCACGTGCCCTCCCTGCACGGGGAAGTAGTCCTCCGCATATCTGTCAGGGGGGAAGAGCGGGATAGCAGTGGTGGAAACTGCCACGACTTCCCCCCTTGAAAGGGAACGCTTGGTGAAAGGGAACGCTTGGTGAAAGGGAGCGCTTGACCAAGCAAGCTTGGCTCGCAATGCGCCTAGGGAGCAATCAAACCAGGATCAAGGTATGGGCATAGGCTTGCAGTGGAACATGCTGTACCAAAAAGAAAAAGAGAACCAGACACTACAGAACCAATCCGCGAGATGTGGGACTGGCATGGCAGGGCAAACCCCCGCAGCCTATCCCAGCGTGCCACGTCACCTTGAGCAGCTTCTCCACGGCGGTGAAGAAGGGACCTGGAACGAGGTCCGTGCCGCCCCCTGGCAGGATCAGACCGTTGATGGCCCGGAATTTCTGGGGGGGTGTTGGGGGGCAATGGGCGAAGGGGGGAGGAGGAGGAATAGAGGGGGGGACAGGGAGGATTGGCAAGGGGAACAGCGGAGACATTGGGTCCGGGAACGAGATGCGTGGCCCCCTTGGGAGTATCCGACCGTTCAAACTCGTACCTTCTCCAGCAACCATTCCCGGTCGTAATACAAATTCGGCACCGGCCTTGCTCCCACAATCCCCCTGGTCAGGATCGCATATAAAGCTTGCGACTATGCGCGCACACAACCGGCCGCACAACCTGTTCGTACCTTCTCTAGCAACCAGTCCGTGTCGTCATATAGAATCTACACCGGCCTCGCTCCCGCGCTCTCCACCCACCTGGTTAGAAGTGTATAACACATCTCACCTACATCTAGCCGCTCCTCACATGTGCAGCCGTACCTTCGCCAGCAACCAGTCGGGGTCGTCGTAGAGGATGTGCACCGGCCTCGCTCCCGCGCTCTCCACCCACTTCACATAAGACGCCGCGATATAAGACACGTTAAGATCCTCCCGCCGCCTCGATTCCACCTCCAGATTCCCCGCATTCGCCGATCCCTTGGCGTTCACACGCGGCGCGCGTCCCCCGTCGCCGTCCCCTGGCTGTGAGAGGATGCCGATCAACGGCTGATTGTGCACCGCCGGCGGCTTGGCGTCTACCGACCGTCGATTGCCGAATGTGGCATCGAATCTGGCTTCGGATCTACCGTCAAATCTGGCCGACAAGTCTAAGAAAGGGTTTCGCGAAGCCGCTTTCGTGGATACGAGCAGCAATGCTGCAATGAATGCGAAAATCAATGTTGAATTGAGCACTGAAAAGGTCGGCGGTCTCAATCGCAACTGAGAGCTGAATCGACGTGTGGCCGCCATGTTTACCAGCACAATACCTGGAGTCAGCAACTTACTGACGAGTCCTAAAAGGGAAGAATAATGCCAGGAGGAATGAATGAAACTAGATTCCCTACTTTTTGACGACCAGGCCTGAGCTGGTCCAAAAAACTACCACTCCGACCTCGTTTTAGCTCTAGAATCACAAATCTGGAGGAGAACTAGGTGCTGTAAGGTACATTACACAAAACAATCGGTTTCTTAAGGTACCCTAAGGTGATGACGAATTGTGTCGCGACGCGGAAGCAGGTGCATTCTTATCCCCCCAGCTGCTGATGAACCAACCAGCCACCAGAAATCGCTGATTCGCTTTTCCCGACTAAGTGGGGGTTTTCCGATCACGTGGTTCCAGCTCCGGCGCCTTTCGAGCCACAGAATGCTTTCCACGTCAGCATGCTTTGTCAGGCCTCTGGCTTCCCGAATCGTCCAGGATGAACAATGGCCCTCCGCCTTTGTGGCCATCAGCCTAGAATTACAACTGTAAAACACTCAGCCTACACTAAGAAGAAACGCATTTGACATAGAAGCTCCAATTGACTCATCCACAAGGCATAGAAAAGCAAAACGCCCGTACAACACCCTCCTGCCTAGTTGGATGCAACCCATACGCTATGTGTAGACTTCTAGACCTCTAGTGCTAGGCCACACAACAGACCACAAAACATAAATTCACATATGGACATGCAATGGAGCCGAGATACTCTTCCGGGGACACCTGGAGAACACCATGAACAGCGCAAAATTACTGCACATGCTTGTGGCTGATCTTAGCGCATGTAGCCGCAAACGCCATAACGAATTTGTGCTGTACATCGGGCCTTGTAAGGTACTGCGCATGCTGGAACCCGTCATTGTAAATCACATTCACGTTGTGACGAGCCAGGTGACTGTAAAGGGAAGATGACAGGGAGAGACAGGACAAACGGAGGCTTGAAAATGCATGGAGAACCAGCACAGCCTTACACCTCCGCACCGCACATAGATAAGAGAAGGACTAGGGAAGAACAAGGCGCACTGGGTGGGTGGGGGGCTACTGCAAACAGACGGGCAGGCAAAGGTAACATCCATCACAGCCTCACCTCTGCACCTGCAACGACGGCACCAGCTGGTCCTCCCCTGCTAGCATCACCAGAGGGGTGGTGGTCACACCTCAGTCAGTACCACCCCCTCCCTTCAACCGACTCCAACAAGGGATCGAGATCTCACCTCTGCACCTGCGGAGAGGGCACCAGCTGGTCGTCCCCTGCCAGCATCACCAGAGAGGCGGGCGGCAGCTCGTCTCCCCACACCAGGTACTCCTGCCTGTACAAGGAAAGAGGGGGGACGGGACAGGGGGAGAAAGGGGGTGCGGGGAGGGGGATTGACAGGGGGAGGGGGATTGACAGAGGGCGGGAGGTGGCAATGTGCAGGCGTTGGGCAGACAGAAGAGGAGGTGGGAGGGTTGGGGATTTCTTTATGACCGCGCTCACTTTAAGAACCCCAAAAGGAAGCGACCAGGAAGCGGGCATAGAGAGAGGGAAAAAAGCTATTATGCATCAGATGACGCTTGCTTTCATTACCTTTCTTACATGCAGACGTACCATGAGAAGCCGCGGCAGATGCTGCGAGCCACCTGCAGCTCCCTGGAGCACAGCACCCAGCGCACGGCCTCTCCGATCCACGCCGCCAGGTGGTCCCCACCCGGTAGCCTGCAAGGAGAGGAGGTGAGGGAGAGGAAGAGAGAGGGAGAAAAAGCAGGGAGGGAGAGAGGCAAGAGTGAGGCCACCTGCAGCACCCTGGAGCACAGCACCCAGCACACGGCCTCACCGATCCACGCCGCCAGGTGATCACCACCTGGTAGCCTGAGAGGAGGGGAAAGAGGAGGGGAGAGGGGGGGAGAGAGGTGGGGAGAGGGGGGGAGAGAGGGGGGGAGAGAGGAAAAACGACTGAGAGAGCATCAAGTGACTAGCAAAAGTACAGGCACTTAATAAGCGGAACCCGAAACTCACCTGTAGACCAATGTGTGCAGCACTGTTTCGCACTCGCTAAAGAGCGACTCACCTGTAGACGAAGGTGTGCAGCACTTTGGGCAGGCAGAGCAGCAGGCAGACGGGGTCGATGATGCTCATTGCTGCCACCACAGAGCGATGGCGCCTCAGCAGCTGAGGGTAATGAGAGAAGGGGGGGGTGGGGGGGGGGGGTTGTTTATGGGGGTGCGGAACCAGGAGAGGGAACCAGGAGAGGGAAGAGGCTCCAAGCAGAGGTTGATGATGGCGTCTCAGCAGCAGCAGATGCTCATTGCAGCCTCCACCGAGCGATGGCGCCTCAGCTGGTGGCAAAGAGGTGGGGTGCGGTTTTAGGGGGGAGAAGGGCAGACAGACGGTAAGAGGTGGAAAACAGAGAGCGTCTTACCAGCAACTCCCTTGAGCTGAACGACGTCTCGTCTTAGTCACTCAATACAATGACACATAACATCACCAGTACTCACTGAGGCAGCAGCAGCAGCAATAACAGAACGACGTATCGTCTTAGTCACTCAATACAATAACACAAAACATCACCAGTACTCACTGAGGCAGGAGCAGCAGCAAGAAAGGCGCTGTACCAGTGACTATGCCACTCGCTTGTACCCGTGCTTGTAGGTGGAAGTGCTTATAGTGAGTGTGACCAACAGTGAGTGACTAACAGGGAATAACTCACCGTTGCAGCAATAAAGGTGCTGTAGGAGTGGCCGACGTATGCCACGCGCTTGTACCCATGCTTGCGCAGGTTTCCACCAGAGCAGCAGTCTGGGGGAGGCGGGGGTTGGGTGCGAGAGTCAAAGGAGAGTTAAGGGAGGTTAATGGAGAGTTGCTTGTACCCGTGCTTGCGCAGGCTTTCCACCAGAGCAGCGGTCTGGGGGGAGGCGGGGGTTGGGTGGGACAGGGGTGGGTGGAGCAGCGGTCTGGGGGAGGCGGGGGTCAGGGGGGTTAAGGGAAAGAACCGGGGGGAGGGGGGGGGAGAGAGGGGAGGGGAAGGGAAAGAACCGGGGGGGGGGGGGGGGAGAGAGAAGGGGAGGGGAAGGGAGACGATGAAAGGAAAAGGTACCCACGCCACACGCTTATACCCGTGCTTGCGCAGGGCGTCCTCCAGGGCAGCCGTCTGACAGAGACACCACAAGGGGAGGGGAGAGCAGAGACGGAGGTGAGAAAGGGGAGAGCAAGGAGAGAAGGAGACCGGCAATAAACACGAGGGAAGCAAAGCCGCAGTGTAGGAGAGAAAGGCCAAGGAGAGGTGAGGTGGGTCAACACGCAGTGTGCAAGAATGGATACGATGAGAAGGAGGGGCATAGGGTAAACAGAGAGGAGGAGCGGCACAGCAGGATGGGATAAGAGAGGAGAGGAAAGAGCGCTCACCACTTCTTCGATAGTGGGAGAGGCGGAGGTGAGCTGGCAGGCGAGGTGGGGCAGCTCGACCACGATGAAGGGCTGGGGTGGGGAGGGAGGGGGGAAAGGGGGCAGACGCATGCAAGAGAGAAGAGGGGGGGGGGGGGGGGGGTTTAAGGAGGATTGGGGCAGTGGGAAGGAGACAATGTGAGAGGCGGAGGTGAGCTGGCAGGTGAGGTGAGCTGGCAGGCAAGGTGAGCTGGCAGGTGAGGTGAGCTGGCAGGCAAGGTGAGCTGGCAGGCAAGGTGAGCTGGCAGGCAAGGTGAGCTGGCAGGCGAGGTGAGCTGGCAGGCAAGGTGAGCTGGCAGGCAAGGTGAGCTGGCAGGCAAGGTGAGCTGGCAGGCAAGGTGAGCTGGCAGGCGAGGTGAGCTGGCAGGCAAGGTGAGCTGGCAGGCAAGGTGAGCTGGCAGGCAAGATGAGCTGGCAGGCAAGGTGAGCTGGCAGGCAAGGTGAGCTGGCCCCTTGCCTCTGTCTGTGCGTCTGCCTCCGCCTGTGCCTGCCCAAGGTAGACCTAGCGGTACATACAGCCCATCTCGCTCACCTTCCTCCCGAACGCGGCCAGCAGCATGTGGATGAACGCGAGGTAGGGCGTCAAGCCGATGCCGAGCCCATGAACGAACACCACCGCATCGTAGCCGTCCGCCTCCGCCTGGGCCTTGTGTGCCTTCATTCCCGGGCGGTGGAAGTAGTGCAGCCCGGCTGGGGACACGTGCCTGTATACACAGACCAAGAGACAGACACACACAGAGCGATGCAACAGGTGGTGAAGGGACATACGCCTGCCTCCCCCCCCCGCCTGGGCCTTGTGTGCCTTGATTCCTGGTCGGTGGAAGTAGTGCAGCCCGGCTGGGGACACGTGCCTGCATGCACAAACGGTACAGAGGGGTTGAGAGGGGAAGACCAAAGGTTCTAGAATGCCCCCCCCTACCGAACGCCCCTTGCCCTATTTCCCCTACCAAACTCACTTGTAGAATCCCAGCACAACCAGAGAGAGCCACGTCAGCCAAGCCACCATGTGCCCCCCCCACGCGTACAGATATGCAGAAACAGCGGTGAATCACCGCCCTTAGCAGCTCAGTAGTTTGGCTTTGAGACGCCTCAGAAGCGCCACTGGGGTTCTCAAAACTAAACTACTTACAACAGCAAATCACTGCCCTTAGCAGCTCCTTGGCGTGGGCCATGAACTCAACCCCATCCTCCCCATCCCCCCTCTTCTCCCTGCAAGAATCCTTAATGTGTGCCATAAACTCAATCCCACCGTCCCCATTCCTCCAGCTCCCATCCTGCCAGGTCTTCCAGCTCCCATCCTGCCAGGTCTTCCAGCTCCCATCCTGCCAGGTCTTCCAGCTCCCATCCTGCCAGGTCTTCCAGCTCCCATCCTGCCAGGTCTTCCAGCTCCCATCCTGCCAGGTCTTCCAGCTCCCATCCTGCCAGGTCTTCCAGCTCCCATCCTGCCAGGTCTTCCAGCTCCCATCCTGCCAGGTCTTCCAGCTCCCAGCCTCCCCAGACACCCCTATCTGCAGACCCCTGCCTACTAGACTCACCTGCGGACCCCCAGAAGAGCCCGGGAGGGCCAAGTCAGTCACGCGTACACAAACAGCGGGTGCACCACCGCCCGTAGCAGCTCCTTAGCGTTGGCCATAAACTCAATCCCATCCTGTCCATTCCTCCACTCCCCCCTCCCAGACTCACCTGCGGAATCCCAGAAGAGCCAGGGAGAGCCACGTCAGCCAGGCCACCATGTGCCCCCACGCGTACACAAACAGCGGGTGCACCACCGCCCGTAGCGGCTCCTTGGTATGTGCCATGAACTCAATCCCACCGTCCCCATTCTTCCAGCCTCCCCCAGATACCGCCTCATCCCCCTCACCCCCCTCCCCGCACTCCCCCTCTCCCCCTGTGATTGCGTCCGCAACCCCTGATAGAACCTCCACTGCTGCTGTCTCTCCCGCGGCTGCTGCTGCTGCCACGGCTGTTGCTGCTGCCACGGCTGCACCCGCGGCTGCTGCTGCTGCGCCTGACACTGCCCCTGATTCCGCGTCTGGTTCCGCGTCTGTTTCTGTTGCTGCTGCTGCGCCTGCTGCTTCCGCGGATTGCCCCCCCTGCTGCGCCTGCTGCTGGTCCGCGGAAGGGGGGAGGGCGGACGCGGAAGAGGAGAGGGCGGAGGCGGAAGGGCGGCGGAGGATGGGGAGGTCCCAGGTTTTTTCGATGGAATCCATGTGAACTGAGAGGGGGGGGGGGGGGGGGAGAGCGAGTAGGAGGAGAGGAGTGCGAGTAGGAAGAGAGGGGAGTTAGGGGGGGGAGTACAGAGAGCGAAAGAGCGAGGATGGGGATGTCCCAGGTATTTTCGATGGAATCCATGTGAACTGAGAGGGGGGGGGGAAGAGGGGGGGGGAAGACAGCGGGGGGTGACGAGGAAGAGGAAAGGGGCGTCAAGGGGGATAAAACCGGGTGTGCCGCGTGCGCATAGGGAGGATGGGGTGGTCCTTTCGATGGAGTTCATGTGACAAGAGAAAGGGGCGTTCGAGGATTGACCAGCTCACCTCCTGGTACTCGGGGCTCAGCTGACCAAAGGAGCAGTGCAAAAAGCCAACCGTGCAAAAAGCCAAACGTGCAAAAAAGCCAAACGTGCAAAAAAGCCAAACGTGCAAAAAGCCAAACGTGCAAAAAGCCAAACGTGCAAAAAGCCAAACGTGCAAAAAGCCAAACGTGATAAAAGCCAAACGTGATCAAAACCAAACGTGATCAGTCACCCCCTCTCTTCCCCCTCTCCCCTCTCCTTCCCACTCTCCCCCCTCCTTCCCCCCACTCAAACACCCACCTTCCACGGCCTCCTGGTACTCGGGGGAGAGCTGGTCGAAGGAGCGGTAGAAGAAGCCGAACGAGATGAACTGCTTGATGTGCTCGCGAGTCAGCCGCTCCAGGGGGGTGTTGTGGAACCACCCCTCGAAGAAATAACGCGCATCCACGATGCCCCTGGTGAAGGGAGGGGAGAGAGCGCAGGGGGAGCGGAGAGAGCGCAGGGGGGGGAGAGAGAGGTAAGGACAAGCCAGGCGTGCACCAAGGCGATTAACTGCTTGACGTGCTGCTTGAGGCGAGTCAGCCGCTCCAGGGGGGTGTTGTGGAACCACCCCTCAAAGAAGTAGCGCGCATCCACGATGCCCCTGGTGATGGTGGGTGGGTGGGTGGGTGGGTAAGGGGGACGGAAAGGGAAGGGAGGGGGGGGGGGGGAGGAGGGGAGCTGAGTAACCAGCCGCTCCAGGAGGGTGTTGTGGAACAGCGCTCGAAGAAATAGCGCGCATCCACTATGCCCCTGGTGGTGGTCGATAGGTTGGGTGGGTGGGGGGGAAGGGGGGGGTGGGAGGAGGGCAGCTGAGCTGAGTAACCGGCTGCTCCAGGGGGGTGTCGTGGAACCACCCCTCAAAGAAATAACGCGCGTCCACGACGCCCCTGTTGGAAGGAAGAGGCGAAACGGGGGAGTGGGGGGAGCAGAAAGAGGAGGGCGAGTCTCGGATAGGCTCATGAATCAATCGCCGTGGCTGAGCAGCTCCGAGACGCTCTCCAGCAAGAATTCGACCTCGCTAAGAGCAGCCCCACTAAAAAAGGGCAGACTCACTTGAGCTTGAGGATGCGGCTGAGCAGCTCCGAGACGCTCTCCAGCGACGGCGAAGTCAGCTCCGGTCGGTGGTTGCTGACGTGGCGCAGCTGCTGGTAGCGAATCACGAAGAAGACGACCTGAGAGGGGAATCGAGCAGCTCGGGACAGAAACTGATGGCTTTGAGTTGACTCAGCTCGGGACAGAAACTGATGGCTTTGAGTTGACTCAGCTCGGGACAGAAACTGATGGCTTTGAGTTGACTCAGCTCGGGACAGAAACTGATGGCTTTGAGTTGACTCAGCTCGGGACAGAAACTGATGGCTTTGAGTTGACTCAGCTCGGGACAGAAACTGATGGCTTTGAGTTGACTCAGCTCGGGACAGAAACTGATGGCTTTGAGTTGACTCAGCTCGGGACAGAAACTGATGGCTTTGAGTTGACTCAGCTCGGGACAGAAACTGATGGCTTTGAGTTGACTCAGCTCGGGACAGAAACTGATGGCTTTGAGTTGACTCAGCTCGGGACAGAAACTGATGGCTTTGAGTTGACTCAGCTCGGGACAGAAACTGATGGGCGTTTCAACTCGGGCCACAGCGCGAGGCACCGGGTGAGACCTGTAAAGGACCTCGAGCACAACCCTTGAGCTGTAAAGGACCTTCGGAAAAGAGCAGCACGCACCTCGAGCACGGCCCACACGGCGAGGCAGGAGGGCAAGAGGGCGGGGAAGATAGCGGCCGGCGAAAGCAGCGCGAAGAGCCCAAGAGCGTAGGCACGCAACAGTTCTTGAGAGAGAGAAAAAAGCGCGCACCTCGAGCACGCCCCAGACGGCGAGGCAGGAGGGGGGAATGGCGGGGCAGAGCCGCGCGAAGAGCAGTAGAGTGCCAGCACGCAAGCGCACAGAGCAACACGACGACAAGGAAGCAATTGAGCATTGCGGCACGCACCTCGAGCACGGCCCACACGGCGAGGCAGGCGGGGGGAAGGGCGGGGCAGAGCCGCGCGAAGAGCCCAAGAGCGTAGGCACGCAACAGCTCCAGACCTCGAGCGCAATACGCGCCTCAAGCAATACGCACCTCGAGCACGGCCCACACGGCGAGGCAGGAGGGGAAGAGGGCGGGGCAGAGCAGCGCGAAGAGCCCACACGCCGCCGCTGGCCCCGCGAGAATGGCGACTGTGACCATTCCCCTGCGACGGAAAAGATGGTAGCGGGGGAGAGAGGGCAGAGGAGAAAGAAGGATATATCTAGAGCGGACCAGAAAGGCCAGGACAGCAGCGCGAAGAGCGCACACGCCGCCGCTGGCCCCACGAGAATGCCGACGGTGACGATTCCCCTGGCATAGTGGAGAGGGTGGGGGGGGAGAGGAGGGAGTGAAAGAGGAGAGAGAGAAAGAGAGAGGAGGAAGAGAAGAGAGAGGGGGGAGAAAAGGGAGAGAAGAAAGAGAGGTATCTCTTGGAAAAGAGCAGAAAGAACGGCATCCTTAGAGTGGATCACAGGGCCATTCTAAGCAGCCGAAGATAGTCACCGTGATAAAGATCAATCGTGAAGCAAGCTATCAAAATCCTCCGGTTTTTAAACTTCGCAAGATCCTCTGACACAAGGTGACTTTTGAGTCGACTCAAAAGTCACGTCGCAAGATCCTCTGACACAACTACTTCGAGCACCAGCTTAGACAGCAACAACTCTCGCGCATTACACCGAGCCGCGTGAGATGAGATGTAGTGTGCACCGACACCGAACCGGACACCAAGTTGCGTCTCCAAGAACTCGCCAATCAAAGCAGTCGACTATTGAGTTGACTCAAAAGGCACGAGCTCGCGTCCCTAAGCACTCACCAGACAGCGCGGGCCCTCTCGCCTTTAAGGAGCGTCTGCTCAAGCAGCTGCGTCCGAGACACCTTGGAAACTGAACAAAAGACACCTCAACACGACTCAACACGACAATACAAACTCACCACAAACTAAACACGACTCACCACAAACTCACCAGACAGCGCGGGCCCTCTCGCCCTTGATCAGCGTCTGCTCCAGCTGCTGCGTCCGCGACGCCGCGATCAGCGGCGCGTTTAACGGCTCGCCTTCCACATCCACCGCATGCGGCGGAGCCACCGCGATTCCCCCACCGCGATGATGCTTCTTGTGGTGCTTTGTCGCGTGGCCCTCCCCCGAGTCGCGGATTCCACTTCCCCCTCGCGCCTGCTTCTGCGACGCGTCGTGATGCTGCTGCTGCTGCTTTTTCCCGCCTTTGGTGCGGCGGCGCGTGAAGATCCCCTGGTTCGCGAGCTTGTACCACGAGCGCATCTTTTCCTCCACCATGCTCTGAAGCGCCGCTTCCCATTGGCTGATCACCTCCACCTGTACCTGGACGGGCGGCGCGGCGGAAATGGTGTCAGACGGATCGAGCACGGCTGCCGCCGCCATGGCTGCTGCTGCTGCTGCTGCTGCGATTCCCTCGCTCTTTTCTATGTCCACTACAACCGCCGTCACGACTGCCTTTCAGATGTTTTTGCTTTCTTGGTCAGAAAACGGCGCAGTGAAGCTAGCCACGAGCCACTAGCAACCCCCCACGGATGGTACCTCGCTCCTCCAACCTACAGCAGACCCAATCCACGCAACACCAGCAGTAGCAGGAGCAGCAGGAATTTCAGCCGCTGTGGTAAATATGGAGGGCACAATGGGTGTCACGAGGGTCTCAGAGGATGTCCCATGCATTTGTTCATGTGTGGTGCACTAGGGGTGCGTTTGCTTTCCAAAACGGTCTGATATATTTCTACAACGGTTCAAAAAGGTACTGAGGGAAAACGAACATTGGGGACATGGCCTCGGGAACTCGCTGAACTCCAAAATGTGAAACGAGCGGCGGAGGAGAAAGATGGAGGAGCACCACACCAAACCAAGTTTCTCAGGCACCAAGCCTCCCAAATTTTAGGCCTGGAGTTAGCCACAGACCTAGGGAGCTCAGGCAGGCTGAGCCGAGCCTGAAGGGTTTGTCATGGTTAACCGGGCTCGGGAGCAGGCTCGGCACGGTAAGGCGGCCTGATGACTTCATCCTCCCTCGTGTGGTTGTGGTTTGCTCGGCGGCGGCGTTGCCGAGGAGGTGATGCGGGGTGGCCCAGACTGCCCAAGAAATCTGCGCTGCCTGTGCGAGAGTAGACGGGGAACCTGCGCGCCTGCTGGTTGCGGACTCGTGTGGCTGCGGGGGCTGTCGCGCGGCACGCCCAAGGGCAACGGAGGGGGACAAGGTGTCAGACTCTTCGCCAGGCCTACGCGGCGTTAGGGGGGATAAAGCGTGAACCAGGCTTGGCAGTAGGCTCGGAAGACCGCTGGTCTGGTAAGGTGAGGGCCTGCCAAAGCCAAGGCTCACACCCCAAACTTCCCCCGACCGACAACAAGTGCCAGCTAGATCCGAATCAGTCAGGCCAATCACACACGGTGAACTCGCGTGTGGTGCAGATTATCCGGCTCTGCTGCCATAAATCTGGGGCAACATACCTTGTTATCCTGCCCAAGGTATAATTAGAAGAGGCTCTGCACCACTTGTATCCATCAAGTTTCTGAATTAATGTACTACAAGAGTCAGAAAATACAAGACAAAAAGTAACCTTCCCAAAGCTCCTTGGTGTCCGACGGAAGATTTGAACACTTTTGCGGTCCGCTTCAGGGGGGCCACAGCACAGAACCATTTCCCGCCTGCTGCTGACGTCATAATGGCAGCCAGCGGTTGTCCCTCCCCTTCCATGCACGCTCCGGCTTAGTTTTGGCGGGAGAGAGGTCCAACCTCCATGGAGTCACGACGACACGAGGCACCTGTAACAGTCCCGGTTACATTAGGAGCACTCACTCAAGGGAATCCAACCATAAACTGTAATACGTGCTATGAACGGATCTTGTGAGCATATAAGTGATGTGAAACACTACTATACAGCATAAGCGTACAAAGTAGAATGTACAAATTTCATGAAGGGGAGTGCTTGCTCTTTACAGCACAGCAATCACTCCGGAGTGTTGGAATCACCAATAACCGTCTTCAAGTTCCCTGTCTCAAGCCCTGCAAGGAAAAAAGAGAAAAAGATGCAGCTCAATTCAGCACCTACCGGTACATATCGTACCATTCTCCTTGCGATCCAGCTTCCCTTCCCCTGGACACGAATCCACAATCCAAAACACCGACCTCCCCCCTATCAGCAGCAGTCCAGCACATCCCCACCGCCAAATCAGTGGCTTCTAAAATCTGGCGACATGCCTGATAAAACATGCCAGCGAATAAGGAGCAGGAGAAAGATGGACGGGACGGGACAACACGAGGGCATTGTAAATGATTAGAAGCCTCCACAGAATCCTCATAAGCGTTCTCCACGCACCTGCGTAAAGCTCCTCAGTCCGTCGTCGCAGGTTCCAGTGGTGCATCTTCCACACGAGACCGCCGACGATGCCGAGCGACAGGCCCATGGCGATCTCCCGGAGCACGCTCAGGTTCACCTGGTGAGCTTTAACTTTTGTCGCCTGCACCTTGGGATCTGTCAGCACCTGCTTCACTCGCGCACTCGCGCTCGCGAGCTTCGACATCGCGGAAGGCGCTGGCTATGAGGGGTTGAATGGACTAAAAGACCGGGAGTGAGCTAGCTATCCGGGATTCGGTGCTTTCACGAACGGCCTCTGGTCGGACGGTGATTTGGGAGAAATAGAGTAGGAAATTCCGCTGGAAGATATCTTCTCCCTGGAAACTGAAACACGAGGAAGAGATCCTCGCTGAGTGACGGACGGATGGGACATTGCGCTAAAACGGAACGCCTGAACGCTCGATAGGTCCTGAATGAGAGTCTGATCTGAGACCCGAGGAGGGAACGCGCCGAGCTGAGAGCGCGACATGCAGGAACCATGGCCTGGGAGGGAGTGGAGTGACGTGTGATGGAAGCAGGTTGGAGGGATTTCTTCACAGGCATGTGTGCCAACTGCTGGTGGGGAATTTAGACGTATGCGAAATTGTAGACGGGCGTGCGAACGGACGAAAAGCAAAACTGGGTGACAGCTGGATGCACACAACGCTGCAGGCGAACTCTACTGCTAGCAACACTGAGTTCGCTCGCAAGCATTTTCGTGGCGGGGTGACGTTCGCGACTAGCGCGAAAGCCCATTGTTTCGCGAGTAAATTCTAGCCCGGTCGTTCACCAATCATCGCCCAGTAACCCGACTCACCAATTTAGCTCACAGGCAGACACAGCCGTGGCCTAAGTGATGGTCGCATCACACCCAGACTAAGGACAATCGGGCCAATAAAGTGATGGCATGCGATGCGCGTCGTTCCCTCCTAATCTGACTTGTGGGTAGGCAATTGAACGAGTCGACTAACCAGAAACGTTTTACCGTCCACGAGTCCGCCAGCGCATACCCTGCAAGGCCGCTTCGCCGCTTCTGGCCTTACCTCGTTCGTGCACGTGTCCGTTCCTGTGGTTCCTGCGTTTGTCGAGTAGAAGCTGATCCGAACGGAACGGTGTATCCGTTTCTGTTTTCTTCTGAGGCGCCTCGAAAGTGGTCGAACAGAACGCGGTATTTGTTTCTGTTTTCTTTTTTCTCGCGTACATGGCCAGCGGCAACTCAAGGCTAGCTGCCTCCTTGCGAGTGGCCTGCGCTGCGCTCCTTCGCACCTTGAAACCATCCGCGATATCAGCAGCCCCGCTATCCGTACTTCCAGATCGCCGCTTCTTCGGGTCTTCAGCCGCTCACAGCGCCGCAAATACCGCCGCGCCTCCTGCCGCCGCTGCTACCGCTGGCGCTGGCGATTCCCGCCATTTCAGCAGCGCCGTAGGAGGAGCATCGGGCAGTGGCCCAGATGGTGCCACGTGTCAACTGGAGGTTTGGAGCTGGGGCCGCGGGGATTCCGGGCAGCTGGGGCACTGGGAGGAGAATCCAGAGTGGGCCCCACGGCGAATCGAATCTCTGTCCCTCGAGATCTCCGCGCTAGCTGCTGCTGGTGCTGCTGCTGCAGGCTCTGACGCAGCAGCAGCAGGGGGAGCAGCATTGGGAGTAGCGGCAAAGGCAGGAGGAGGATCGGCAGGAGGAGCATCAGCAGGAGAAGCACTAACAGGGCTAGCAGCCACAGGGCAAGCACGCACAGTCGCGAGCCGAAGCGCGGATCTTAGTAGACTAAAGGAGGCGCTAAGGGCGGGAGTGTCTTGTGGAATAAGCCACTCTCTCCTGTGGCTAGGCGGGAGGCTTTGGGTTTGGGGGAGAGGGGACGGGGGGAGGCTCGGGCTGGGGAACGAGCTCTCCCTCTACTCCCCAACCCTAAACCCTGATTTCTCAGGGGCAGTAGTACGGAGTGCGGCGGCTGGTGGGTTGCATTCCTTGGCAGTATCTGAGGCGGGGGAGCTGTTCACGTGGGGATATGGAGGGTTCGGGGCGCTGGGGCATGGGGAGTTCACCAGGAGGGATGTGCCCTGCCACGTGGCGCCCTCTGATTGGCTGGAGGAGGGCGTGGAGATTAAATCGGCAGCAGCGGGAGCCAGCCATACCTTGGCTTTAACTACGGCTGGCGGGGTGTATGCGTGGGGGAGGGATGAGGGGGAGGGGAGGCTGGGATGCCCGCATATAGTGGAGGCGTTAGGGGAGGAGGGGTGCGTGCCCCGGCCAATCCCGATAGATTTTCCAGCCTCCCAGGGCCTGCCACGTGGCGGGCTCTCGTTGGTCTCCTGCGGGGGGTTCTTCTCTGCTGCTGTTGACTGCGACGGCAGCGTGTGGACGTGGGGAGGTGAGGGGAGGGCTGTGTGTGTGAGGGGAGGGGAGGGGGGGGTTGGGGAGCAGTGTAATTTCAGTGGGGACGAAACTGAGACAAATTACAATGCTCTTCTCTGCCGCTGTTGATTGCCACGGCGGCGTGTGGACGTGGGGAGGTGAGGGGGGGAAGGGGGAGGGGACGTGTTGTTTTCTCGGCCCGTTCTCCACCCGTTCGCGTGCTGCTCGCACCAACACCTTTCCCTCCCCCCCTTACTATCCTGCCTGCCGTTCACTGCCTGGACTGGACCCTGCCCTTCGGGGAGCCACAACGGCCAACTGGGGAGGGCACAACACGTCCCTCCCCTGCCATCCTGCAGTTTTCTCTCACCCTGTCCTCCCACCCTGCCTCTCCCACCCTGCCTCTCCCACCCGGACCTTGCTTTTCAGGGAACCACAATGGCGAACTGGGGAGGGCGGCTTCAGGGCTCCATCCAGGTCGTGTCAAGACTATCACATCGCCCATTACACATGCAGCTGCTGGCGGCTTTCACACTCTTGCCGTCGATGGTGGGTGCATTTTGTTGAGATTTCATCAGATGGTGATTGCACCCCTTTGCGGTCGCTAGTATCCATTTCATGTGGATCTTGTCATCCCCGCCCCCCCCTCTGCCCCCCCTGCCCCCCCTGCCCCCCCCCTTTTCTCCCCCCCCATTTCATGTGTGTCTAATCATCCCCCGCCGCCCCTCTGCCCCCACCCTTCCCCCCCCTCTCCCATCAGACGAGGGCTGCGTGTGGTCGTGGGGGCGGGGCGGCAGCGGCCAATTGGGGCAGCACTCGCTGCTGACTCAGCCCATGCCACGTGTCGTTCCAGGATTGGCTGGAGTCAAGATCGCCAGGGTGGCAGCAGGGAGTGCCTGGAGCGCTGCTGTCTCAGGTGGGTGTGGCAAGATAGCCAGGTATTTCCGCAACAGAGCCAGGAAGCATAGCAACAGAGCCAGGTAAGTTTCTACTATTCAATGTATGTGGCAAGGGCGGTGGCAAGGTCGTTGGCAAGGTCGGTGGTAAGGTCGTTGGCAAGGTCGGTGGCACTGACCCACCGATCCACCTGTACATTATGACCTTGCCAATGGACAATGGAGAGAGCCATTGTACAATGGAGAGAGCCATTGGACAATGGTGAGAGCCATTGGACAATGGAGAGAGCCATTGGACAATGTAGAGAGCCATTGGACAATGGAGAGAGCCATTGGACAATGGGGAGAGCCATTGGACAATGGAGAGAGCCATTGGACAATGGAGAGAGCCATTGGACAATGGGGAGAGCCATTGGACAATAGGGAGAGCCATTGGACAATGGAGAGAGCCATTGGACAATGGAGAGAGCCATTGGCCGATCCGTTGTACGATTTTGAGTGTATGAATGAATAAACCCCTCGTCCTCCTCTTCCACCATGCCAATCACACAACCACCACCTTCCTCATCCCCCTTCCTCCCCACCCCCCTCCCCCCCTTCCTCTCAGAGAAAGGGCAGCTTTTTGTGTGGGGGAAGAACTCTGACGGGCAGCTTGGACTGGGAGCTGGGCAGCCTAAAATTATCGACGAGCCGTGCGAGCTTTCGCTCCCGTCACTTCCGTTACTGTCACATGAACAGGGATTACTGTCCGCAAACAATGGTGTTAAGCGCATGGTTTTAGATGTGTCTACAGGAACAAGCCACGGAGTGTGCATATGCTTGTGCGTACCTTCATAACAAAGATACACTGGTTTTCATTGTGCTGATTTCCATACAGGTACTGCAATTTCGTAGTCCCGCAACTTTCAAGGCAACGGGAAGTATCTATTTGAAGCGGAAACACTGTACACTGCAATTTCTTGCAACAAAAACATTCAGCAGATGCATGTTGACATCAATCTATTCAGCTGACTTTTGGTCACAAAATCTAGCTGTAAACTCACATCAACCTATCCAGCTCGCAAGGTGCACTTCACCACCACTAATCAGAAGCCAAGAGTACACCACTCGCCACCTCAAGGTCCATTCTGTCGCAATTTTTTAGGCGCCTCAAAACAAGGTCCATTCTGACACAATTCACCGCGCTTTCAAAAGGTCTGTCCAGCTCACCCATGCTGCTTGAAAGTTGAAACTCACTCTCTTGTTCGGTCAGCTCCTTTCCCTTGAGTTAGAGTCAGCTTTGAAGTCAACTGAAAGGAACCCTCGTGCCGGGCACCGAGGCCCATTTCACTGGGCGTTTTTCTTCAGAACGCGTGCCCGTGCCGCTTGAAACTCCTCCTCCGTAGGCTCCTTCCACTCCTCTTTCCGTTTTCCATTCCCCTTCCCCTTCCCAGACACAATTCCCACCTTTTCTCCATTCCCCCCTTGTCCCCCTCTCCCCCCTCATCATCTCCCTTCTCCCCTCCCACCTTCCCTCCCCCCACTCTCCCCCACCTCCCCGCCCTCCTTTCCCCCCTCCCCTCTTCCCCTCGCCCCCTTCCCCCGTCCTCCCTTCCCCCCGTATTTGGCTGCAAGTGACTCGAAGAATTCATCATTCTCTCGAGCCCGCGTCTGTCGGTTGCGAATCAGAGCCATTAGCCCGTGGTTGTCATTGCTGTTGCTGCTGCAAGGGAGAGGCACGGGGAAAGACTCAAACAAACAGGTCTTCAGCCTCTAGAGCTCGCGCCTGTCAATTGCGAATCAGAACCATCAGCCCGTGGTTGTCTTCACTGTTGCTGCTGCTGGTGGCAAGGGCGTTTGAAGGGTGCGGCTGGGGGAGGGGTGGGGAAGACTCAAACAAACACGTCTTCAGCCTCTAGAGCTCGCGCCTGTCAATTGCGAATCAGAGCCATTAGCCCGTGGTTGTCTTCGCTGTTGCTGCTGCAAGGGAGAGGGAGAGAGGGGGGAGAGGGAGACTAATAAAAATGAGCTCTCGCCTCTAGCCGATTGCGAATCAGAGCCATTAGCCCATGGTTGTCTTCGCTGTTGCTGGTGATGGTGGCAAGGGCGTTCTAAGGAGGAGGGGGGGGGGGATGCGAAGGGGGTTGGGGGGAAGGAGGCGGGGGGAAGACTCAAACAAGTCTCTAGCCTCTTTAGAGCAATCAGAGATATTAGCGGGTAAGGGGTTGTCTCTCAGCTGTTGCTGCTGCTAGTGGCAAGGGCGTTTGAAGCGGGGAGGGGTTGTGGGGGGTGGCATGTGTGCATGCATTGGTTGGCATGGCATGTGAATGTACGTGAGATTGTGTTTGTGTGCGCACACACACACGTGTGTTTGAGAGAAAGGGGGGGAGGGTAGGGTGTGTGGGTATGAGATAGAAGCAAGAGTGAGGTACCGCTGGGAAGCAGGAGTGAGAGTACAGTGGGTTAGAGTGCAGGAGTGCATTACTTGACATCACCGGGGTTGGCCGCAGCAAGTTCCTTTGCGACTTCGCAGCCCCTTTCTTGTACCCAGAAACAAGTGTGAAGTGTGAAGTGCGAGCTGCCATCGAATCAAGCGAGCTGAAGGGCGTTACCTGGCAGCAATGGGGGGCTTTTGAGGCGCTTCTGGAAGAAGCTAAGGCGTACAAGATTGAGGCTAGGGTGGGAAGGGGGAGTTACCTGACAGCAAGGGGATCGTTTGGAGCAGGTTTCTTGGCGACTCCTACAGCCCATCTCTTGTACGCCTTAGTAGCCTTCAGCTGGTCTGCTTGTGCTTCTGGTTGTGCTTGTGCTTCTGGTTGTGCTTGTGTTTCTCTTTATCTTAGTGTTTGTGCGGTAATTGTGTTACCTGACGGCAAGGGGATCCTTCGGCGCGGGTTTCTTGGCGACTTCTGCAGCCCATCTCTTGTACGCTTTAGTGGCCTTCAGCTCGCCTGATTCGATAGCAGCATCGAGTATGCCCATGAAGCGGTGTGAGTCGATGTCCCGCGTGCAGATGTGGCACTCCAGCACCCTGAGTGGTAGAGCAGGGGCGGGGGGCGTCGGGGGTTGGGATGGATGCATATGGCTTGGCTTGTGAGTCGACTCAAAGGCAGTCGATAGCAGCATCAAATATGCCCATGAAGCGGTGCGAGTTGATGTGGCACTCCAGCACCCTGATTGGTGGAGGAGAAAAGTAATCGGAGCGGGAATATTCACAAGCAAACATGAATTTGTGGGCAAAAGAGGATACGGAGTAGAAGGGGAGGGAGGGCCAACGAAGGGCCCAAAGGCTAAGAAACCATGCGCCCTTTTTGTAAAAACATACAGCATTCCTCCTAGCCTCACATGTCCATCCGCCCCTTGAACCGCTGGTGAAGCTCCTTGAGCTCCTTAGCCCCCTGCTCCGACCCCCTGACCCCTCAAAGCACAAGGCGATACCACACATGTTCTGGGACCCCTCATAAGCCCCCCAGTTCTCACATCGCCTTTCACTCCCACTCACATGTCCATCCGCCCCTTGAACCGCTGGTGAAGCTCCTTGAGCTCCTTAGCCCCCTGCTCCGACCCCCTGACCCCTCAAAGCACAAGGCGATACCACACATGTTCTGGGTCCCCTCAAAAGCCCCCCCGTTCTCACATCGCCTTTCACTCCCACTCACATGTCCATCCGCCCCTTGAACCGCTGGTACAGCTCCTTCAACTCCTTCGCCTCCTGCTCCGACCCCCGGTACTGCCGCTCGAATGCCTCAATGTCCTCCACTGTTATCTGTGGGGAAGGGCGATGGAATGGTAAGAGGGGGATTCGGAAAGGGTGGGGGGAGGAAAAGGGTGGGGGGAGGAGCGGGAGGGGGTTGGATTTGGCACGAGTCTTAACATCCCTTCAGTTCCTTGGCCTCCTCCTCCTGCTCCTGTTCCTTAGTCCTCCTGTATGGCCGCTCGAATGGCGCATTGGCATCCACAGTCCACCACCGCAAATCCGAAGCAAAGGATGCTCTGCAGCTCAGAATGACGTCTTACCTCTCATACATGATACATGCTATTCGGAAGAGGTATGAGAGGCAAGATCTCGTACCTCTTATACAAATAAAACTTGTAAAAGACCTGTAACTGTGTCACTTGGATCGGAGACCCTACAAGGCCAAGACAAGCAAGAGGCTCAAGAGTAGGCTCTTACCTCACAAAACACTTTCCGGATAAAACGTGTAAGAGGCCTGGTATTGTGTCGCTTGGAGACCCTAAAAGGCCAAGACACGCCAGATAGGCTCAAAAGTAGGCTCTTACCTCATGGTACACGCTCCGAAAGAACTTGTGAAGGTCCGTAACTGTGTGTAATGAGTCTATTTTTTAGTCGAATAATAAATATACTCATTACAAAAGTAGGCTCTTACCTCAGAGTACACGTTCCGGAAGAACTTGTACAGGTCCGTAACCGTGTCGCCCGAGAGACCCTGCAAACACAAAACGCATGCATGACGTGTGTCACACGGATTAAAAACGCATTACAAACGCATCACACGTAAAGCTCGTGTAAGTCCTGCATGTGTAATAAACGGACGACGCAATGTGGCAAATGCAACAAAAAACGGAAAAGGAAACTAGGACAAGGAACTGATTGACTTGCGAACTTGCCCACTGCTTACTTCGACCCACTAATGTCAACCACACTCACACTCTCGTCCTCGCCATCCCCATCGCCAGTGCACCCTGTCGCATCATACAGCTTGCGCCTCTCAGCGTCCCCCAACACGGCAAACACCCGTTGCAGAGCCTGGAAGCGGTCCTTGGCAGTCTGGTGGGGGGGACGGGGGGGAAGCGGGGGAGACATCAGATAACCCAAGACGGTAAACACCCGCCGCAGCGCCTGAAAGCGATCCTTAGCGATCCAGAGGGGGGATGGAGGGAGAGGGGAGGTTGGAAGGGGTCAAGAGGGTTTGGGATGGGAAGTTCAAGGCCGATTAGCACCAGATGCAGTGCCTGGAAGCACCGTTGGCGGCCTGAAGGGGTGAGAGGTGGTAGAGGAGGAGAGGGTGGAGGCAAACCCTTCTTGTCTGGATGCCACTGAAGGGGCACGTGGCTTCATCTATCATCACATAATTCTTGCTCACGCCACCTCACCTCACCTCACCTCACCTCACCTCACCCCTCTGCCCATCTCATAGCCTGTGTTTCTGTCTAAATGCAGCCGCAGAGCCATGCGGTCTCAAGAATCTTTCACACTCCTCTCACACTTTCTCTCTCCCCTCACCTCATCTCCCGGTTTTCGTCACTTGAGTCGACTCAAAAAGTCTCTCCCCTCACCTCATCTCCCGTTTTTTGTCATTTGAGTTGACTCAAAAGTCTCTCCCCTCACCTCATCTCCCGGTTTTTGTTAGAGTGGAATCGAAGGGCCGCACAATCTAACGAAACCCTGCTTTCTCACCTCATCAATTTTTCTCACTCACTCTCTCGTCTCACCTCGTCCGCTTAGTCAACCTCATCTCCCGGGCTCTTGTCTGGATGCAGTCGAAGCGCCATGCGGTTCGTTTGCTATCTCAACTCGTCTCTCATCTCATCTCTTCCCTTGGCTCACCTCATCTCCCGGGTTCTTGTCCGGATGCAGTCGAAGCGCCATGCGGTGATACGCCTTGCGAATCTCCGCGTGCGTCGCGTCGCGATTCACTCCGAGCACCTGCGATTCGAGGGGAGGAGATACAACCACATGCGATCATTTGGCTGATTTCAAATACACGGAGAGGAAAGTCGCGATTCACTCTTAGCACCTGCGATTCGAAGAAAGGAAACGCGCGAGTTGCGTGTGTAATGAGTCGATTTTTGAGTCGACTCAAAAATCGACTCATTACACAAGGAAACGTGAGTTGCATGATGCGGTTCCACTGTACGAACAGATGACGCACGTAAGCACGCGGAATACACCCGAATTCTACTTGTAACGCGTATACCAGCATAAGATCACGCGGAAGACAGCTGTTAGCTGGAAGGAAACTATTCATTAAACAAATTGCTGGGAAAGAAAGAGAAGATACGCCATGTCGAATGAAAGGGGATGCCAGGGAAAGCCCTACCGCGTAGAGTGGAGTCGTTTTTTAGAATTCTCAAGAAGAAAAGAGGTGAAAGCGAACAGAAGGGGATGCATGGAGAAGCTTTACCGCGTAGAGATCTTTCGGATTCGCGTCATCTCCAGCCGTTGATTCCTTGCTCTTATTCGAAGCCGACGGCTCTTGACCCTCTTTCGCAAAGTCGCTCTTATTCTTAGCCGTCGGATTGTCATCCCCTTTCGCAGATTCGCTCTTATTTTTAGCCGTCGGCTCTTCAACCTCTTTCACTTTGTCATCCCCAGCAGCAGCGACGCGAGGTGCCTTACGCGTGCTTTTGAGTCGACCCGTCGGCTTCTCATCCTCTTTCGCAGAGCCGCTCTTATTCTTAACCGTGGGCTTCTCATCCTCGTTCACATAATCATCCGCGGCAGCAGCGAAGCGAGGCGACTTGCGTGTGCTCGGCTGGCCCTCCGCTCGCTGCCTTTTCTGCACCATCTCCGGATCCGCACTTAGCAAAGAAACTCGTTTAACCAACAGCGCAGCTGGTAAGCAAATTGAGCAACGCTGGTGCGGCGTATGTCCCGACTGTGCAAAGCAACTGAGTATCTGATGCAAGTAAACTGGCAACACTGCTGTCAGAGCAGTGACTATTTGCTGTGAAGCAGTAACTACACAAATTCAGTATGGTCCTAGAGTAGTTCCTACTACTCGCGTAGAACGCTCAGCCGCTGTTGTTTTTAAGCGTGTCTGCTGACAAGCAGTCCCAGTTACTCGATCCGAACAACGCTCGTTGGAAGTTCGTTAGAAGCCGCTTGCCCTAACACGCGATTCACACATTCAAGGATCCAAGTTGAACCTTTCTTTCCTCTACGCCAGGAACTCGGGACTTCGCTAGACAGTCCTGGGAACTCCAAGCCTTGAAGTTTGTCTGAGGGCATTGGGCATAGTGCGTGCTGCAGGTGCTCGCAGCTCTCTCCATGCTGTTTGATGCACCCAAGCCTTCGCCTTCTGAAGGAGGTTTGGCGGGAAAATGGTAGGAGGGAGGCGCGGACGATTTCAAAGTTCCAAATTTGAAGCTTCAGCTTGAAGCGCATTTTCTGCCTAAACATTGTCAATAATTTCAATAGCACATACATTGTTTTGGCATGATTGTTACATTTCTACCAAGGCAAGAGGATCTAGGTTGATGGTTATGGTATTAAAATGTAGGCATAAAATTCAAATCAATTAGTTACATTGATTTGATTTATCATAGATAAAATATTATCATACTGTATTTGTATTATGAAAACGAAAAACATGCCTACATGATTATGAATGGAAATGTAAGAAATCAAGGGACATTGGGCTAAAAATATAAGAAATAATGATTATCCTGGATAAAGGACTGTTTTGGAAGTAACATCAATGAGGGGATAAATGATACTGATAAATGCTCTGCACAAATTCACACTCAAAGGGTTGTATGACTTGTAAGGAAAGAAACAAAACCGTCTGGACTGTACAAGCCATGTACAGTGAGCATGTCAGCTGACCGAAACCCGCTGAACACGCATCGAGGTTGCTTCCAACATTAGCCATCCCCATCATCCACACCATCACCCCCAGCTTTCCCATCATCCCCAGACACAGCTGTACCGTACCAGATTTATTACTGATCACCCTGAACTGGACACTCAAGGTGGATGATCCATCTGTCTTCTGATCTTTCTGCTCACACAACTGCGTGATATTCTTACCTCGTGCGTTGAAGATTTCGCGCTGCGATCCGTTTTATAGGTTTTTGGAGTGTCTGCCAGGACACGGGAATTTATCGCGATTCACCAGCAAATCTCTCGTCTTTCTGAGGGACCTTGCTCTTTCTTTCTAAAGACAAGGATTTCAGCTGAAGAGTTCCTGTCAGCGAGCGGAGAGTAGCAGGATCCCTGTCAGCTGCTGCTGCTGTTGCTGCTGCTGCTGCTTCGACCATGTCGATTCATTTCAAGTTCCGATCCGCGAAGGAGTTCGATTCGCTGGCCATGGACGGCCATTTTATTTCCGTCGCGAATCTTAAGGACCGTATTATTGAGCAGAAAGGCCTTGGGATGGACTCGGATGTCCAAATTTTCGATGCGCAAACAGAGGAAGGTAGGAGATGATACCAGCACGGGGGATTGGTCCCAGTGTGCTGAGTCTTAGACTTAGTTAGGTATATTTTCTTTCATTATTTGGGTTTTGGCCGCTGGCCGATCCATACTGTTCATATGTTATTCCTTTTTTATTGAAAGAAATGGATGGGGGAAGGGTGATGGTTTTGGACGCTGAACGACTGTCTAGGGTTACATCCGCAAGAGTCTTCTCAAAGGCAGATCGTTCTTGATAAATTAGACTACCACAGTCACCACGAGACTGCCTGGGGTTAGTTCTAGGTACTCGGTGGGGTCTCCAGCTTATATTAGGTGCAGCAGCTTCGGGCGTAACGCTACTGCAGAGCCAGACAGAGCTAGGCTTTCGAAGCTGTCGATCAATCTCTGGCTGTAGCTGTTGACCCGTCTGCTGGTTGAAGCTGTGGACCAATCCAGTCCTTAGAGCCGTCAGATCCTTCTGCAGCAATCAGCCGCCGTTTTGTCAGCTGCTGCAAGCCGTCGATTTGCTTTTTGCCAGCTCGTTATTGGTAGTGGAGAGTTACGCCTTCTGTTGTCCCCCTGACTCGCGGACGACGGACAGCTTACCCAGGATAGCAGTCAGCACATAGCATGCAGCAGAACTGTCCTCGTACTGACTCGCACGCAGCACACAGCGTGACCGTGCTTCGCCACTGAGACTTGACCTTTGCAGGGTTGACAATTCAGCACCCTGTGCCATTATAAGGCAACTGCTTTTGCCATAATTTCCCCTCCCTTTCTTTTCGTGAGTCCAATCTCGTGTGGACCCCTCGTCTTTTCTGTATATGGAACTAAGAGTTTTTGCCAGTTTTTTCCAGCTTCAGATTTCTTTTTTGGGGCGGTTTTCCCCTGCATTTCATGCTTCAGCGCATGGATGCCTCAGGGCGAGTTACATTAGGGTTTCGACTTCTTAGATCGTTATCATTTTCGCTTTCTTGTTGTAGTTCACGGTGCATGTATCCATGCTAGTGCTTGGCTGCATGGGGTGCAGAGTATGGCGACGACAACCAGCCAGTACCGCGCAACACCAGCGTCATCATCAAGAGAGTTCCCAGATCAAGAGCCCGGGCAGTGCCGCAGCCTAAGCCCCAGCCGCCTGATGAGTACGCAGATCAGCTCCTATTCCCTCCACTTCTGACTGACATTGGGTCTTCTGCTAGCTTGTGTTAAAGGCCGCTATTGATAATCCATCAAGTTTTCTTGCCATACTGCAGTTTCAGAGCAGGGGGTCATACATGGCCAGGCCATGGTGCTGCCGCTGGTGCTGATACATCTGCTGCTGTGGCTCAGCCTCAGGCGCAGCAGCAGCAGGCGCCATCTTACCCGGCTTACAAGGGCTACAACCAGCAACTGGTGAGTTGTTGTACCGTGTCAGGCATATGTTTTCCTGGGCAAGTGTGCTGCCCGTGTGCTGTTGCCGGTGCTGGCACATCTGCTGCTGTGGCTCAGCCTCGGGCGCAGCAGCAGCAGGCGCCGTCTTACCTGGCTTACATGGGGCTACAACCAGCAGCTGGTGAGTTGGTGGCATTCTGAGGCGCCTCAAGATGGTGAGTTACTTACCCGGCTTTAGGCACAGCAGCAGGCACCGTCTTGCCCGGCTCACAAAGGCTACTCTACAATCAGCAGCTGGTGGGTTGGTGGCCCGGATGGTGGCACGCGGACACGCTTGGCTTGTCAGGCTTGGTTTCTGAACCTTGGGTATGCGGCCCGTTGAGTTCAGGGGTTCCATCAAACACTCATAGTCCCGGGAAAACGGTTTTCCTGTGATGTGGGCCAACTGTAGGAAATTCTCCAGTGGTTACAAAGATCCGTACCTCTGTCGTTCTTATACTCTTCGGAACCTCGTATTCTCCCCCTCCTTTTCCTCTGCGTTCCTCGTTATTGCCAACCCTATCAGAATGACATGGACGGCATGATGGATGACCTGGCAGACATCTATGGTGACGTCGGCGGACACATGTCCATGCCTGCCGCGTCAGCCGCTGCTGCCACGTCAGCAGCCCCGCCTACCAACGCCATGGGCGCGTCAGCAGGGGGGGGAGGGCAGGGAGGGGGGCAAGGGGGGATGGGGGCAGGGGGAGGGGCGCAAGGAGGGGAGATGATGGGGGGAGGCGGGGGAGTGGGGGGCAGTGCGAGCAGTGTGCAGCAGCAGGTGGACGAGGAGACACGCATGATGTCGGCCATTGTGGATCAGGCCTCTACGGACTGGCAGAGGTGAGGGCTCGGGGGTTTTCACTGGTGAGGGCTTGCTGGAAGATCCTCTGCGGCTCTGCCTGTCCTGTGACCGCCGGCACAGTAGAATGCAGTGACTGGCTTAGGTTTTGAATGCGTCCTGTTTCTATATCCCTTATTCTTACCGCTTTTTATCGTTCTATCCACCCCCTGTTTCCCTCTGCTTATCACTGCTCTTCCCCTCGTACTTGCTGCTCGTCCCCACTCTCGTTCGCGTTTCCCGCAGGCCTCCAGATCAGTATGGCGGGCGAGGTTATGGGTCGACTCAAAAGCAGACTCATCACACGCGGTTTTTACTTTGACAATACACTTATCACTGCCCTTCCCCTCGTACTTGCTGCTCGTCCCCACTCTGTGCTTCCTGCAGGCCTCCTGATCAGTTTGGCGGGCGCGGTTATGGGCGGGGTTTTTATGGCAGGGGTGGTGGTGGCGGTATGTGCAAAAAGTTGTTGCAATTTGAGTTGAGCCACACTGGCCAATCGAGCTTATGCTGGCCTTGCAGTATGGATTTTTCGTATCGAAAGGCCGATTGCGCGTTTTGAAATTGTGCATGAAATGAAAGGCTTTTGACTCAGCTTTGGCTGCTTGCAAATTGAGCTTCCATTTAGGTTGTAATTCCTCTCTTCTGGTCGTTGCTCCATTTGATTCTGTTCTGTTTCTGTGCGTGTGGCTCTCTGCACGCATGTGAATGCATGTGTGACTGCATATTTTCAGGGCGCTTTCCCTTCCCCCCACGGAACTCGGTTCCACACCCTGGTTACATATGTTTCCGCTGCAACAAGCCAGGTATGGACCGAAGGGGACTGAGCTCATTGGCTGTGTGCATGTGTTTGTAGTATGTGTGACTGTTTGATCTCGGGGCGCTTTCCCTTTCCCCCACGAAACTCGGTTACACATCCCGGTTACATATTTTTCTGTTGCAACAAGCCAGGTATGGGCAGGGCGCGCTCCCATTAGGTTACATTTGCTACCGCTGCAACAAGCCAGGTGTGGGCAGAAAAAGTGTGTTTCTAACCTGCTGCTTGTCTCTAGAAGCTGCCCCCCCCTCCCCCCCCCTCCCCGTTTTTTTTTTTTTTTTTAATGTGACTTTTAGCCTCTTGTGTGGGAGATTTTACTCAGAAGGTATCCATTTATTTCCATTCGCTCCTCGTGCTCCCGATTCTCACCAGCTATGCCATCCCACATGGCACTCCCCCTCTAATGGAGATGCATGCAGCATTCGACATGGTGTGTGCCAGGTGCACCCCCCTCTGGTTTTATCAGAGTCAACAATCACAAGCGTTCACCCGTTCACCCTTTCCCCCTTCCTCCCCCCCCCCGCAGGCCACTACATCAAGCACTGCTCTACCAACCAACGGAGATGCAGCCTTGATGTGGTGCGTCGGGTGCGGCGGCCCTCGGGCATTATTAGAGCCAACACTCACCAGTACTCATTCCTGTGTCCCTCTACCCTCCTCCCCAGGCCACTACATCAAGCACTGCCCACCAAGGGCGACCCAGCCTACGACGTGGTGCGCAGGGTGCGGCCACCCTCGGGCATTCCCAAGAGCTTCCTGTGGCGGGACCAGGGAGGGAGGTACCTTATGCCGGAGTGTTTTCCGTCCCTCAACTCCTTGACCCCCTCACCCCTTACGTTTCTCCACAGGCCACTACATCAAGCACTGCCCTACTAACGGCGACCCAGCATACGACGTGGTGCGGCGGGTGCGCCCGCCCTCCGGCATCCCCAAGAGCTTCCTGCGGCCGGACCAGGGAGGGGGGTACGTCATGCCGGATGGGTCCATGGCGTCTATGGGCGGCCACGACATGCAGCAGGGCAACGAGTGAGTGTGCCTATAACTAGTACGTCATGTGGGAGTGGATGCGCAATGTCACTGTCAGTGTTGGTAGTCTCTCCATCGGTCCAGGGAGGAAGGTACCTCATGCCCGATGGGTCCATGGGTCTATGGGCGGCCACAACATGCAGCAAGGCAGCGGGTGAGTCGTGCTTGGCTGTGGCTCGTGTGATGTGGAGTGGATGGGGGGGGGTGATGGTCCGTGTGATGTGAGTAACCCCGCTAACCTGTTCCTCTTGTCCTTCTGGGGCCCCCTCTGCCATCCACCAGCCAAGCGTTAGCGAGAGAGACAGAGCCCTTCCTGCCCCCATGCGGCAGCCCCAGGCTGCAAAGATCCCCCCGGACCTCAAGTGTCCCCTCTGCTCCATCGTCTTACTTTTATCCCTCCCCCCCCCCCCCCACTCCCCCGTGTTGCTCTTCCCTTCTCCGCTTCCCTTCGTTTATCCCCCAGCCAAGCGTTTGCGAGGGAGACAGAGCCCTTCCTGGCGCCCATGCGGCAGCCCCAGGCTGTGGAAATCCCTCCGGACCTCAAGTGTCCGCTCTGCTCCAGCCTCTTCCGCAACGCTGTGCTCATCCCCTGCTGCCACCTCTCCTTCTGCGACCAGTGTAAGGCCCTTTATGCGACCACTGTGAGTAGTTTGTTACCACCGGTGTCTCTGCCTCTCGCTGCCTCTCCTTCCGCTGCCAGTGTAAGTGCTGCCTGTACGAGTGATTCTATTGCTCCGGACCGGACCTCAAGTGCCCCCTCTGCTCCAACCTGTTTTTTAATGCTGTCCTCATCCCTGTCCGCCACCTCTCCTCCTGCGCCAGTAGCGCAATCCTGCTGCTTCTCTGTCTCTCCCTCTATCTCCCCCACCTTTTTCCCTCAGGCATTTGGAAGCAGCTGCTGTCCAAGGGGTGCTTCCCCAAGTTCGTGTCCAGCCAGTGCAGGAACAACAACCTCCTGCCTAACGTGACGTCCAGACAGGCTGTAGACTGCACGAAAGCACGCCCTCACGTCTCCCCCTCCCGCCCCTCTCACTCTCCCACTCCCCCTCCCTCCTCTCTCGCCTCTCCTGTGTTTCAGGCATTCGCCAGCAGCTGCTGTCCAAGGGGTGCTGCCCCAAGTGCGCGTCCACCCAGTACAGGAATGATGATCTTCTGCCTAATGTGACGCTCAGACAGGCTGTGGATCGATTTAAAGCAGCTCAGGTGCAGCACACCCAACAGGTGCAGCCTGGTAGTCAGTCGCAGGGACAGATGCAGCAGATGCAGCCGCAGCAGCAGCAGCAGCCACAGCTGCAATACCAACAGCAGCAGCAGCCGCAGCCACAGCAGCAACAGCAACAGTGGCAGCAGCAGCAGCCGCAGCAGCAACAGCAACAGTGGCAGCAACAACAGCCGCAGCAGCAACAGCAGCAGTGGCAGCAACAGCAGCAGCCGCAGCAACAGCAACAGTGGCAGCAGCAGCAGCCGCATTATCAACAACAGCAACCGCAGCAGCAACAGCAGCAGCAGCAGCAGCAGCAGCAACAACAACAACAACAACAACAACTGCAGCAGCAGCAGCAGCCCCAACAGCAGCAGCAACGTCAGCCTCTAGGTAACAAGCAGCCCTCAGCAGCTTTTCCTGCTGCTGCTGCTGCTGCTCCTGTTCCTCCTATTTCCACTGATGCTGCTCCTATCGCTGCTGCTGCTGCAGCTGCTGCTGCAGCTGCGCCTGACGAGGAGCACAGTGCAGCATCGGGAAGTGGGAAGCCTGGCCGTTCCCCTGCTGGTCCTGCTGCTGCTGCTGCCTCGGGTGCAGCTGCCTCAGGTGCTTCCAAAGGCGCAGGTGGGAGCAAGGGTGTTAGCAGTGGCGTAGAGGAGCGTAAGGGGGGAGGCGCTACAGGGGATGGGGATGCCCAGGGCGCTGCTGATGCTGCTGATGCTGCTGGTGCTGCTGATGCTGCTGGTGCTGGTGGTGCTGGTGGTGCTGGTGGTGCTGGTGGTGGTGAGCCAAATGCTGAGCAGGGGGGGTGGGGAAGGGGAAGGGGCGGTAGCAGGGGATGGGGAGGGGAAAGGGGAGAAGGATGAGGAGGAGAGGCAGCGAGGAGTGGAAGAGGCGGAGGAGGAAGAGGAGGTGAGTGATGGGGTGACAGGCCCTCCTAGCACCTCGCAACCTGCTACTCAAGGCGATGCTACTGGTGCTCGTGCTACTGCTGGTGATGCTGCTGCTGCTGCTGCTGCTGCAGATGGCGGTGGTGGTAGTGATGGTGGTGCTGCTTCTGCGGATGCTGCGGCTCTTGGTACGGTCGGCACACCAGAGGTTGACAATACCGGTGGTGCTTATGCTGAGGGAGATGGGGAGGTGACTGGAGGAGCGGGGGGGAAGGAGGGGAAGGAGAAGGGATGCGGTAGAGGGGGAAGTGGAAGGTGGGGGGGAAGGAGAGGAAGGGGGAGAGGGCGGAGGTGAGGGAGGAGGGGAAGGAGGGGAAGGGGGAGAGGGCGGAGGAGAAGGAGGAGGGGAAGGAGGGGAAGGGGGAGGGGAAGGGAAGGCTGGCAAAATGGAGAAGGAAAAGAAGGTTAAGGGAAAGAAGAAGAAAGAAAAAACTTAAGCAGCAGAAACAGCAGGAGCAGAAGGAGCAGCAAGAGCAGGAGCAGCAGGAACAGCAGCAGCAGCATGTGGATGGGCAAATGGGTTCACAAATGGGCCAAACGGGTGCAATGGGGCACATGGGGCACATGGGGCACATGGGTGGTGGGCAGATGGGTCCACACATGGGAGGCCCTATGGTTGGGAACATGGGGGGAAACATGGGGGGAAACATGGGGGAAACATGGGGGGAGGGCCTATGGGGGGACCTATGGGGGGAATATGGGGGGAAACATGGGGGAAGGGCCTATGGGCGGACCTATTGGCATGGGGATGGGTCCAGATATGGGAGGCATGGGGGAGGCATGGGAGGAGGCATGGGGGGAGGCATGGGGGGAGGCTTGGGGGAGGCATGGGGGAGGTATGGGTGGAGGGATGGGGGGAGGCATGGGCCCTGGGATGGGTGGGGGATGGGTCCTATGGGCGGGCCTATGGGCGGAATGGGCGGACCTATGGGCGGGCCTATGGGGGGGCCTATGGGG